TTGTTTTCCATGTGATGGTTATCTTTTCTAATGATGAGCCGTCACAGGACTGATTGCACTTTTTAATGGGACAGGAAACCTTTTAACAGGTTTCTTGATTTAGAAAAAAAAAATACGACAATTTGTGCTGAAATGTTCTGATGTTTTGATGAAAGCAATTTCCCCTCCTCATTGGCAGAAATATGAGATGAAGGATTCAAGCTAAATGATTATTTTTGTATTTTCGTGTACATGTATTCTTGTGAACCAGGATGTGGTTAATAATTTGTTTTTGATGATTTGTCAACAAGGACAGGCAGTCTGTTCCTATAAGATCAGATAAAAAAAAAAATAATTATTAGTTAGTCTGTGTCATACAGGGTACTCGGTGACTCTTGGAAAAAAGTTCCAATCAGTGTAAATTGTCCTTGTCTAACCCAAATCTGCTGTTTGTGATGCCTTGTCAATATAACCAAGGACAATGGACAAAAAAAAAAAACTTGAATGGAATTTAAAATTCTAGACTTTATGTTTGTGAGTCATTTTTCATCTTGCACACTTAACACAGTTGTGTCTAAACAAATGTAGCACCCTCTTCTAATGTTTTTTACTGTGCAGTAAACTTTAAAAAAAAAAAAAAAAAGGAATAATGCCAAGAAAAGAAGACCGCAGTGCTGTGTGTCCGTGAAAGGTTTGTGGATGCATACATGTGAAAATGGGAGTTCATTTTAATAAATAAAGATTTCATCTCATAACAGTGTCCTGTGGCCCTGATCTTCAACGTTAAATACAATAAAAGGCCATTTTTAAAGAATCTTAATGCAGGATATATAATGAAATAACCACAGGAGGTGCTGTTGGAAAAAAATTAAATTAACTATATATATATATATTTAGTTTTTGGTAAAAAAAATAAAAAAAGACAAATGACCTGATAGACAGTATAAATGAGCATTATGAAGATTTTAAAACTGAATGTAGGAATTGCTAAATTATTGGTTAAACTATTCCCATTTAAAGATCCGAATTTACTGAATGATGAGTTTGTATTGAATGAGGAAAAGCTGATTGGTCAGCCTTGCATGGAGCAAAGTCTGAAATTTATGAATGAGATGATCTCTGCATGACAAAGAGGAAACGGTGAGGAGGGTAGAGATTTATGAAATAGGAAGGGCAAAGAGGTGTAAACATTTGCATGATTGACTTTGAGAGATTCACTGGCTGATCTCTGATGCAAATATGGGTCCAATCTTAACTACAGGTTTGTCTAAGTACACTAATCTACATGATACATTTCTCAACAGTGTTTTGGTGAGTAACTCTTTTAGTGATTCACTCCAGTTTCCTCTCAATATGTCATAAAGCTTTATTGGCTCTACGTGTAAACTCAAGCATATTGCATGCAATGCTTTATTGTGTAACAACTTCCTTCTTTGACTCACAGTGTCTCAATGTGCCAAAGTAAGGATGACAAAGCAAGCGAGACAGCTACCCTCTGATTAGTGGATAACAACACTGACCCAGCAGTGTTGCCCGTGTAGTAATCCACATGTGGTTGGAAAATATAACACATACAATCTGATGCCAATTTGAACTCTGGGATTACTGGCATGATGAAGAAAGGTGTATCAAGCAGAAGTGAAGTGACCTATTTCTTATAAAGTTGTATTGAATATATGCTCATGTAGCAGCCATCGAACCAAAGAAGTGCTTATGCATCAATTAATGTGAATGACTTTGCAAATTATTTAGGTTCTGTTAAGTTTTATTACTATAGAAATAAACACTGCATTACATTTTGATTGGATAATCTAATGCCCATTTGTTGGCTAAGTTAATTTAACACAATTAAAGCCATGAGGTCAGATTAGTTTATCAATATATTACCCTGACATCTTTCCTTTGTAGCTGCCGACGCTTCACTTAATGTGATTAAAGGCTGATAGTGATGGGGGTTCAGGCCAGACATCCAGATGCAATCAGGGCTTGTTTGTAGGGTTTTGATCTTTCATCTTGTTTTTTCGTGTGTGAGTGTGTGTGTGTGTGGTAAAACAGAGGAACCAGACATAAGTGTAGGAGGAAGAAAACCTCCCCAGAGCCCACAACAACTGCGTTTCCTAACTCAATGGAACAATACAGAGAGTGGTCAGGGTTGAGACTGGTTTTGTCATTATTTTTTAAACAGCTCAGATCTACTTTGAGCCAATGGATACGGAGAGTAACAGTTTAACAGGTAAGCAGTGGATTACTACTGTGTGAAGGGTTTGAAAAGAGTGAGTAGGCGATAAACAAAAAGAAAGGATAAACCTAATCAGATAGGCCTGATAGCAGCTGATGGACCAGTGACTTTAATGAAAGGAGGATGGTTCAGGCTTATTGGTCATGAACAATTGGTGGTAAAGCTGTTTTGCATACATTTAAATGGACAATAGGATATTTTCCACATGTCGGTGAGATCAGACACCTGGATAAAGTGAATGCAAATCTGTCAATCTGTGCAAGGTGTAAAAGTTAGTGTCATCTAGTCAAAAAGCTTTTTTAGTATCTTTGTGTTTCTGCTGACCACAGTAAACTGCTTTTGGTTAGGCATAATGATCAGAAGTCTATTCCTTTTATCAAGTTAAAAAAAAGATCCTTGGGTTTCAATCAGCTAGGTAATCAGTCAATCAATCTTTATATATTGTGCAAATTCACACTCAATTTGCATTCTTTTCAATGGGGAGCCTGTAGCCTACCACTTTTAACAGAGACTGCAGTGTTTTCATTTTCTGGAAAACCTCCAACAGGTTTACACACAGATGAAACAAATTGCTAAATATTACAGGCTAACCAAAGTTCAGCGTTTGACCCAAATCCATACAGCTGTTTTTGTTTTATGGCTCCTGGTATAAAAAAAAATGTTGGCGGTGTAGTATAACTTGGGGTAACACTTGATAAACAGAGTTCAGGGGTATGTTAAATGCTATCAAGTTATCTGAAGCTAATATGCTTAGCTCACTTTAACTTCCTTGAAAGATAAAGTTCCACTTTGTTTAATCACAACACGGTGCAGACAGTAGATGGGTGATGAACAACTGTAGCCTACATTTTCTCATCAGTTTACCTTACAGTACAAATAGGAACCAATAAGCTCATATGACCTAAAAATAAAAGTAACTTTTGAGCAGGTGGAGTCTATAAAGCTGAGCAGTAACAAGTATGACCAAGATAAGCCACTGAAAGACCACCATTATCAAAAGGCGGAGGTGTGGTATGCTGCTTCTTATCCTCTCCTCTCAGGCCAAGAGTGAAAGGGTTAATGGAACTGAAGCGTAGCTCTGAGCCCCCTCCCTCCTGCTCTGTCTCTGTGCGAGCTGGGCCCATCCGTCTCAGAGGAAAGTTCCTGTTTGAACATTGAACACTGTTTGTCAACTTATTATGACACAGGAACTGCTGTCTGCTAAACCAGAGTTTTTGAAGATACTCCACACCTCCCAACTTTGAGACGAAACAAGACTCAGGCTCATTTACAGCGGCAGGATGCAAAGGTGAGTGTAACGCCGACAGATGTTCGCTAAAATCTGGTTCATATTTCAGAAATTACTCATTATCGGATTATGTTTCTTCAAAACAGTGTTATATGAAAAGTTTCGTTGCAGCACATTACGTCGGCTATCCTAACAGAGTCAACGTAAGCAACCCGCCCATGTTGTAGTTTTACGGACGCTGCTTGTGTTCGCAGAACAACGGTCCGGAGTCGAACCCTTTACTCTGTGACTTTGTGCTCAAACTGAATCTTTGCGCTTAAAATGTCACCGTATGCTCAGTACAATGAAACAATTAAGTTCTATAAATACCATAAATATAACCCTAATGGCGTCAGAAAGCTGCTGGCTGAGCTATTTCCGACATTGGTGAAATTCTACTTGGAATCAAACTTAAGAGTAGTGATGATGAGTGTAGCTACAGTGGGTTTGCAGGGTGGATGTTTTATGAGCAGGAAGTCCAATGCTTTACTACTTTACCGTAAAACCCGTGTTTGGTAAGACATAAACTTAAGGCTGGACTGTAACAAGCGCCTCACACGCCCATGAGAAGTGGCACCGTGCATATACAAGTGAGTATATTACAACGGTACCAGCCTTGTGTTTGTATGCCTGCAGGCCAGTGAGTTTGTGCCCAGCTGTCACGATGAGCCGAATTCAGTGCCATACCATGCATTCTTTACTAACGGGCTGCTCACACCGTGGAGTTTGCCTCCTTTAAACTGCCCCCTTCACAGCCAACATGTCATAGCATGTCAGCAGACTAGACAGTGACATAGTTTGTTGGTTAATACAATCTTGTGACTTAAGTATTATCCACCACATCGTGATGACACTCTTCAGTGATTACATAGGTTATAGTTATTGTCTTGGACTTTGGTCAGTGCTATTTTTATTAGTTTCATGCTAGTTTCTGTACACCCTAGTCTTGTAGAGGTTAAAAAGAAAGTTATGGCCTACTGCTGAGTGGCCTGCTCGAGTCTCCTCAGATATAGGGGGTCAATTTAAATGTGAAAGCTGCAGCAGTTTATATAAATGTAAAGCTTCTACTGCGTCCTTTTAATGTGTGGTTTAAGATTTTTACAGGCGATGGTGAGAACAAAGTAAAGCAAATGTGTGTATTGTAAGGCAAAGATAATGTAATCAGCTTTAAGGTCTTACAGTAGCTGTAACTGCTCTTATCTTCCCTTGGTTACAAGCTCTCCGGTAAGTTTTATGTTCTGACATTTTCCCTTAAAAATGGGCTTGGGCTCTCATAAAGAACAAATCTCTCTGCAGCAGCAAATACCTTCACACATGGTAAAAGACTCTGACTCATAAAAGTAAGACAGGATATTCATCAGTGTGAGCTCTTTCTGCAGAACAGCATGGAACGACTACATTAGACCGGTATGTTGCTTTTAGGTGTCTCAGTTTGCGCCTGACCTCAAATACCTTTCTCACTGCAGGTTTTGATCTCACTGGAGCTGATTGGACTGAAGATTAGTGATTGACAAGATGCGTTCCAGTGTGGATGGACAAATTGGAGGAGGGAGCACTGGCAGCAGTAACAATAACAATAACAACAGCAACAGCAATGAAAACAGTGGAAACTCGGGCTCCCAGTATGCACTCTGTGCCCTGGGGGTTGGGCTTGTTGCTCTTGGTATCGTGATGATTGTATGGAGTGTGGTACCAGCAGATGCAGCTGGAAATAACAGCAGTAGCTCCGGAGGACATGGAGATACTACTGGCAGAAAAAATAAAGCATCTTCCATCGCGTTTGTCTTGGTGGGGTCCGGGGTGTTCATGTTGCTGCTGTCTCTGTGTCTGGGGATGAGGAACAAACAGCGGGAGCAGCTGAGGCTCCAGCAGGCTCAGAACCATGGAGGAGAGCTGGCCAGGCAGCAAGTAGACAGAGAAACGTGAGTACAATTGAAGCTCCACAAAAACACTGTATTTGAATGATAAATACTTTTTTATATATATATTTGTAAGCAGAAAATTAAACTGACATCAATTCAGCAGGTGGATTTGATTTTTAACTCTGCAAAATAATTTCTGATAGGAAAGAGTTTTTGCACAAGAGCTAGTGTTGTACAATGCTTAGCCCTACATTTACAATTATAAGGAATATTATGGTTGTGGTGCACGGTCCCATGCGTCTTTGAAAATCTGATGCATGACATTTAAAAGTGGCTGAAAACAGCAGGCTTTTGTATTTAGGAAGCTAACACATCCAAGTGATTTATTTACAAACCCCATTTCCAAACAAGTTGGGACGTTGGACAAAAGGTGAATAAAACAGAGTACAATGATTTGCAAATCCTTTTCGACCCATATTTAACTGAATACCCAAAGACAAAATAGTTACTGTTTAAACTGATAAACTTTACTATTTTTCTTTGAAAATATTCTCTCATTTTCAGTCCAGTGTCTGGAACACGTTCCAATAAAAAGCTGGGACAGGAACATGTTTACTGCTGTGTTACATCACCTTTCCTTTTACACTCAACACTCAATAAGCCTTTGTGAACTGAGGACACTTGTTGAATCTTTAGAGGTGGAATTTTTCCCCATTTTTGCTTGATGAACGACTTTAGTTTCTCCATAGGGTCTTCATTGTCTTTTTTGTGACAAGTGTTTGTGAGCCCACGTAGATAAAATGATGTCAGTTTTTTAATGCAGTGTGGCCTGAGGGGTCAAAGGTCACAGGCATTCAATGTTGGTTTTGGGTTTCACTGCTAACGTGAAGAGATTTCTCTGGATTCCTGAATCTTTTGATGATTTTATAGACCGTAGATGATGAATCCTAAAATTCCTGCGATTTTGTTTTGAGAGAAGTTGTTCTTAAACTCTTGGACTACTTGTTCAGGCAGTTATTCACAAAGTCGTGAACCTCACCCCATCTTGGCTTGTAAACAGCCTCTGCCTTCCAGGAATGCTCCTTTTATACCCAATCATGACAGTTATCTGTGTCTAATGAACCTGTCCACCTGTCAAATGGTCCAAACTGGTGTTTTTACAGTTTTTCTCAGTTTCCCCTCTCTATTATTGCCCCATCACATTTTTGAAACATGTTGCGGGCATCAAATTTAAAATGGGTAAATATATGTATGTTTTTGGAAAATTAATCAATAAAAAAGTCTGTTTCAAAATCAAATATCATGTTTTTTGTAGTGTATTCAGTTAAATATGTTAAAAAGGATTTGCAAATTATTGTATTCTGTTTATATTCACAAATGCACAACATCCCAGCTTCATTAGAACTTAGGTTTGAAGTAACCTTTTTGATGACTAATTTTGAGATGTACCAATATTAAAGCTTGACAAGATGGGGGCAGGCAGGCTCCCAGATTAGGTCGACTTTACTTGAAAGATAACACAGAGACTAAACTGTGTCAAAACATGCTTCAATTGGACATTTATATGAAACATGACAGTAATAACATAAATAATAAAAAAAAATTATTATTTTATTCAGTCACAGGCTCAGATGAAGGACTTTGCAGTGAATACATAATGATTCATTCATATCTGTATGTTCTTTATGTCTGCAGTGCTGAGGAACAGGCCCAGCGTTATGCTGTACCCTCCTATGAAGAGGCAGTAGGCAGTGGACAGTACCCTGTTCGTCAGAGTAATCTTCGCCCCAGCACCTCCCAGCTACCCTCATATGATGACCTAGTCCAAGTGGATGGCGTACAGTATGAATGTGAGGGGTCAGAGGTCGGGATTGCGGGATCACAGCCTGCTCCAGCCTCTGGTGCACCAGTCTCTGGTGCTCCAGTCTCTGTTGCTCCAACTGCTGGTGCCTCCACATCGAATCGTAGACCTGGAAAAAACAACCGCAAACTCCTCCCTATCAAGATCCGCAGGATTAAATCTGAAAAGATGCACATGAAAAACATTGATAACTCACAACCAGCAGCTGGAATCAGTATAGAACCACTTACTCCACCTCCACAGTATGAGGATAAAGTGCCTCCAATTTAAGATCGACTATACTGTATTTAAAAGAATCAACTGAAATCCTGGACGGCCGCCAGGATCACCTTTTTTGGATGTGGACCTGTCCCACATAGCCATGACTTGACAGTGGTTCCAACTGATGAACATTTTATCTGTGGCACTTTGGTAAAAGATGCGCTATCTGTTCAGCTGTTCATCTTTGTCAGTCATCCATTTTCCTCAGAAGCACTGAGTGGGAAACTTTATTTTTTTCAAAAATATAGGATCTCACAGGAAGAGACAGATCATGGGGATATGCTGTAGTTGCTGGATCCTTTCTTATGGTGACTCTCACACTGTGGCCTGTTGGGTTAAAAGCACACACACACACACACACACACACACACACACACACACACACACACAGACACACACACACACACAAAAAGCTGTTTTCATGAAGCTCTGCTATGCAATGTCTGTATGAGACCAGTCTCCTATGCACACGTGAGTTCAGTGTTGAACAGAGGATATCTCTGAGGCCAAAGGATTAGTGGATCCACTTGGATGTGGAGGGCTTTCATTTTTATACTTACAAGTGGCTGATGTTGAAGCAGTGTATTGCCCCTGAGGCCTTACATTCATACTGTAATGTTTCTGCAAAACTTTAACAAATTAAAAACAGGATAGAAATTTTGGACAGTTATTGGAGAGTCTACCTTGGTCTTTACAGAGCTGACACTTGTTCTTCTTTCTGTTAGCTTCTGTTTCACTAGCCTTTGGTTTAGAGTGCTTTCTTCATTTGAAAAAAATTGAACAACAGGTACAAGGATTTCCTTTGACTGCTGAAAACACAGTTTTAAGAATCTTTCATTTACAGCATAGCTTTGTTAGCATTTAACAAAAATCATAGCTCCTATGACTTAGCCAAAGGTCCGTGTCCAGAAACCTTTAGGAACCAAACTAACCAGCTTGAATGTTTGTAGATATATCTGAACTGTAAATGCCATGGACCACAGTAAGTAGATTCCCAAGTGCAGTACTATTTGAGTCTTTTAAAGATGCTCAAACATCGAGCTGTAACTTTATTAAAACTGCTGACAGTAGTAGAGTCTGTAGATATGCCAAAACAAACCCCCAGAAAGTCTTGAGATGCTGTCATACCATTAAATTGATAGCTGAGTGAGCAGCCTAACTATCTAAAAGTAGCTACAGACTAAAATTAGCATGTCACTGGACATATTTGTCATTAAGTAATATAAATAATTCTGAATTTTACAAGGATTTTACTCTTGTTTGGGCTCCAATAACTCCTGGGAAAATCTGCCTTTTTAAAGCTAATTGCTTAACCCATTAGTCTCTTGCTTATGTTGGTTTTCTAATGCTTTGTGCCAGCGAGGAAGCCAGCTGACGACATCTATTCTACTTGCTCAATCAAATAGCCTGAGGGAATAATCAGGAAGCTGTTATTGGAAAGTTACAGGCTGAAATGTGCCCTTACACATACAAGTGCAGCACCCTAATTTCTGTGGTAGAACTGTTTTTAAGAGGCTAAAGGTCTTGTTTTAGGGCCTTTTTGAGGAGTGGCTTAAGATAGCTCTGCAGGCATACACAATAAGAAAACTTTGCTGCCTTTGTTTTCAGACCAACAATATTGCTTATGAGAGCACGAGTGAAAAATCCTGTGAATAGTTGAAAGCCTTTGCCCCGTAGCCATGGTGAATACTGTTTAGCTGTACAGACAACTAGTGTGTTCAGTGTCTCTCTGGGCCTTTTTTGATTCTAACTCAATGTCCAACAGAAAGACTCTTTGACTGTGCAGCTGTGCCATAATAACAGCAGCCTCCTCAGCTTCTGGCTTCTGACTCATCACTCACTCATTCCTGAAATCACAGCCTGACTTGTAGCCCTTGTTTCTCCTAGAAATATGCAGAGAATGAGCAGAAAGACAGCTTATATCTCTGTTCAGAAAAAGTTTGAGTTCCCATCACAGCACTAATTTTAACCTGTCAACAGACTCATGTTTTCTTCTTCCGGTTGGACTCATTTGAACAGGATGAACCACATGAACCTCGAGATTTGCTGTCTTAAATTTTGTTTGGCAAAAAAAGCAGCTTTCATGATTAACTTCATAACCCGTCTTCACTTTGTTTTGGTAAAACTCAAGTGCACGCAAGAATGTTTCTCAGTCACTGTCAGCTGGTCTTCTGATACTGTATATTTACAGGTTTTCTGTAAAAAAGGTAACAAGATCAATGAGTAACTCCAGGTTTGTCATTGGAACACACACTAGTGTTGTCTACATTTCCTGACTATTTTTGAAGCAGAAACCAGCCACCATGTGTGATCAGTCTTTCTACTTTGGTAGGTGCCATATTACCAAAAAAGGAATTGTACCTCATCTGCGAAGGACCAGCAAACTGCATGAGTGATTTGACTAGTATTTGGTCCAAATGTTTTACATTGATAAAACAATGAGTGCTTTGGTTTGGCAGTCACTTTGTTTTACTTTGATGAATACCTGAAGCACACTGTCTGTTATCAGTGTCATTTATTCTTTATCCTTTATCAGTTAGATCTGTATTTCTTTTTTTATTCACTGTGAAGATAGGCTTTTCTATGGTGACTCTGTTTTACTCTGTGTAAGTGAGTTTCCTCAGAAAAGTGAGAACATTGTATCTCATGAATTTTTTATGAGAAATAAAAGGAAGATTTTTTAAATTACATGATGATATAGAAGTTTGTGTTTTACTGAGTGATATTGAGTATAATTTTTTGTTTGTTTGTTTTTTTAATTAATTAATTTATTTATTTTTGTGGCACATTTCTTTGAATACCTTGAACACTTTGTGTCTTACTGATCCTTCAACTGTTCACAGTCCCTAATATGCCCCGACCCCTTTCATGAAAAAGGTAAAAGAGGGTTTTTATTGTAAGTTTCCAGAACATGCAGAATATCAAAGTTCTATGATTACATTTGGTGGTATTGCACTTAGACCACTAAACTTCCTTCCTGCTTTCTTATCAGAAAAAAAGAGAACACGTCATTGATCATAGATGCTCATATTTCTGCTTGAATATCTTCAGTAGCTTGTCATTACCTGCAGGGAGAGAAAAAAAAAAAAAAAAACGCAGTCGTATTAGACTTCCTGTTTTTGATAGCTGAGCTTTTGTTTGCCCCGGGTGTCATTGTTCATGCTGCTGAAGTAATTAATGAAAATATCACTCACTGTGTTCATCCAGTTGATGTATGAGTTGACTTTTGTAAAGACAGTGGGCTTCTGGAAGACATTACAGCCCAGACCAGAACCAAAGCTGACAACACCATGAACATCCCAGGAGCCATCAAGGTTCTGACAATTCAGGGGACCGCCAGAGTCTCCCTGTGGGTCAGCGCACAAGCAGCACATTTGCAGACACTATGTGGTTACCAAGGATCACTTGAAGCAAATCCCCTTTCATTAAATATCTGGTGCTACAAATATCAATCACTGACAGCTAAATTTCATTGCATAACCCTCCCAGTCTGGACTCACGTTACAGCCGGCAGTGATGCCGTCACCTCCAGCACAAACCATCTTGTCTGTTGCCAGGACACTCCACCAGTCAGGCTCTGAGCAGGTATCATGGTCAACCACTGGCAGGAGAGCCTGCTGCAGTACGTCTGCTAAAGGACCATCAGCTGTGGGCAATAAATATGCTCAGCTTATTTTTCTATATCTATCAGGTAATGATGGGTGAAATGCTAAAATTGTCATATATTCTAATTCCACTCATTTTACAATCTTTACTACAATGCACACGAAAACCATCTGAGCTACCACCCTAAGCATGTAGCTTATGAGATAAATGCCTGCTGAGTAATAGGTCAACCATTCACTCAAGCCTGAAATCTAAAACAGAATCATAGTTTGTATTTTTCCACTGGTCTAACTTCTCTGTGTAAGTTGAGTTTAGTGAAAGTGAGTCATTGTGCTTTTTTGTATTTCCTTACTGGAGAGTCTACCCCAGCCCGTCACATAGCAGGGGGTTCCATTGGGCAGGACTATGTTCTCATCAGGGATGCAGGCGGGCATGATCATATCCGAGAAAGTGACAGGGGAGGACAGCCTGATCAGAGCAATGTCGTTGCTACAAAAGGCAAAGCAAAACACCCAAATTTAGGAAGTTTGAACATACCAAGCATGTTTTCTGATCTATTGAGGTTTTGCTGAATCATCTATCTTACTTTGAACAATCATAGATACTCTGCTTACACATAGAGAAGTGCTGATTATAATCTTCACTTAGACTCATGAGGTGATATTGAGTTGTGTGGGTTGCTGCTGCTGTTACCGGCTGAGCAGGATGTTGTAATCCTCATGAGTAATGATTTTGGCTGCCGTCAGAGCCATCGAACCTTCCTCACTTGCGCTCAGGCTGTGTTTACCCAGCTCCACTCTGTAGTTGTAGCGGTCACTGTGGGACAGCAGATGACAAGGTGTTTCCATGGGGAGTCCAGAAAGTAGTATTGACTTCTCTGCTGGTGTGTAACTAAACTGTGATTAAGCAGAAGGTGGATTGCGTTTGTGAGGTAGTCCTGGGGTGGTAATTCATAGCTGTGGGTGACCGAATTAACTGGTTTCCAATTGGCAATACTTTGTTCTCTATTTTTTATGCAGTGTTTTTGACTGATGCCAAATATTTAAACAATTAGATTAATCTGTATGACTGTGTTTTTGTTTTACATACAGGCCAGGCTTCATTTTCAGAGTTGACAGTGCGTCGTTTCATTCCCAAATCAGCCACATAGAAACCTAAGTGCGTAATACCCTGTTTGGGAGGGGACTGTTTCCTAGAGCAGATCTCTGGTTTGACAATTTTAAGTGAATGCATACATTAACTTGGCATATTTGCTCAATTTTGAGTTTAATTATTGCTTAACAGCTGAAAATGTTCTTACTGTATTGGTTAAATATTTTTTTAACTAAAAAGACAAATCTTAAAATGATTTCCTCTTATTCCAGGTGTTTTCCACACATATTTCTAACAACACTGCAACAATATCAAGCTTATCAAAGACCCTGTGCTTCATTCTAGTGTAGATGAAACAGACACTCTTCCCCCTTGTGTTTAAACATACTTGATGCAGTGTGCAGCAGTGAGGACCCAGTTAGAAGAAAGAAGGCTTCCTCCACAGACGTGACTCCAGCGCCCACTGCTGTCTGACTGAAGTGACACCTGGAAAGAAAGTCCCCATTTCTATCCTCAAAAGATGTCAATCCAAACACTAAAACCCGTTTATCACTTATCCCTCTATATCCTCACACAATAAAGTGTCAATTATCAGAGGTTCAGTCGTAGAAAAACATAGAAAGTTTAGAGGGTAAAGATGTAAAAATGGATTGTCTCTGATCCCTCCTGTATATTTATTGTATAGGAAACATTATCAAAAGCGCAGTGTCACTAAGATGTGAAAAAAATGAGAGTAGAAACATTTAAAAATTAAAACATGTTGTGTTGCCTAATCTAGATCTTACCTGCCAGGGCCAGCTGTGGGGCCTGACGTCCTCGCCTGCCACCACCCTGTTCAGCACAGGAGGGAAACTGGGCAGACCACATCCACAGGCTGGAACAGGTTACGGTAGTTATAGAGAGGAGTTTGTACCAGGTCAGACTGGTACACACTGGTCAGACTTTCATATTTATATTTATATTTATATTTATCTAAAGAGTTGTTTACAGGATAGATATCAACCTACTTTTTTGGATTATACTAGAGATAGTCATTTCCAGAACTTTGTGTGAGGGTATTGAAGCTGTCTTACCAGTAGCTACAAGACAAGTGAGAACCACCAGGCTCCTCATGACTGTAGAGTTTGTGTTTGCGCCTAAATATTGTGTACAGAAGAGGCCTGTATTTATACTGTATTTGAGCAGCTTCTAACCAGTGTAAAACAGTTCTGGGAAACCTGTTTGACACTTTTAGAAAGACAAACAAGTGCTGGAAACTGAGGACTCAACATGTGGTGAGTGATAGAATTTTCCCATTGCTGTTTCACTTGGAAACATCTGATCACTTTGTGCCAAGTACCTTCCACTGATAAAAACACAACACATTTGTCTGAACATAAACGTGCTAATAATAATAATAATGATGATAATAAGATATTGACATTTTACATTTGAAACTTTATATTTTATTTATTTTACATGTCCATGTTTTGGCCTTGATCTTCAAAGTCTGTGTCCTCAATAGGTCACCATTTTCTGTGGAAGAGAGGATGGAGATATTTCAGGTTTTGTCAAGCATCATGTTTTTGGTAATAACTCAAAGTTGATTTTTGATTGGCTAGATCCTTTAGTTTTAAACTCTAAGACCTGAATGAAGTCGGTCTGCACTTTCAAACAGTTACAGTTTCATGACTATAAACACGAGAGTAACCAAACGTGATGTTTAGGGGCTTACAGAGCTGATCCAGTCTGCGTAGGAGCTGACTTGAGTGAAGACTGTAGGCTTCTTTTTGAGATTGCATTTGAGTCCAGAGCCAAAGCTAACAATGCCGTGAACCTCCCAGGCTCCATCGCTATTCTGACAGTTCAGAGGGCCACCTGAATCTCCCTGGGAAATGAAAGACAAAACATGCAATCCAGTCTAAATATATTTTAGATATATTTTTAGTTTTTTTACATTAAGTGCAGAATTCAAACTAAACACAGATGATTCAGTGATTTCAAAGTCTACAATCAGAGGAAACATTGTTGTGCTATCTTCTGGGGTTTACAAACGACCAAGAACACTAGTGCTCTTGTTTGATTTGTTAAATTTGCAGTTATTTTAGACTTACGTTGCAGCCAGACACAACTCCATCTCCACCTGCACAGACCATTGTGTCTTTCACCTGGAAGCCCCACCAGTCAGACTTGCTGCAGGTAGCATAGTCCACCACGGGCAGAAGAGCCTGCTGTAGGATGTCAGCAATAGGACCTCCAGCTGAGAGATTGAGAGATGAATGCAAGCCTCAGTTCAGCTCAGGTAAAAGGAAGAAAAGGATATTTTTATTCAGACATCCAAGTTATTGCTAACAGTTGCAACAGCTATTTACTGCAGAGCACAGGACTATCTTACAGTTCAAGTATAATTCTTAAGTAATAAATGTCCGTTATCAACTGATATCACAACAGTTTACAGATTGCCAAAATGGTGTTGTTCATAGTTAGATCACTGAAATTTATTGTTTTTGCAATAGTACAGATTTTATGTATGAGGAAGTCATTGGCGAAAATTCGACCAGACAGGAAATCAGTCATGTTTATTATCATGCTGATACCCCAAAAAGACTAGACTGCTACAGTTTCCTTTATGTTAATCTTTGTAGTGCAGCTGTAAAACAAAATTAGAAGGTTGAATTCAAAGAAAATATTATAGTTTGCTGTGTAGGTATGGGGTATAATCAAACTTGCAGCAGAGACTGTTTTGTAAGCTGCAGCAGCATAAATCACTTCAAGTTTGCAACTATCATTACACAACCCTTTGGGTCAATTATCTAGACATGTTTTAATCCAGCAATTAATGAACCAGATTTAACCTCAAAGTAATGGAGGACAAATGAAACTCACTGTAGAGGCGACCCCACCCAGTGACAAAGCAGGACTCGTTGTGAGGGAGGACAACACCAGCAGCAGGGAGACAAGCAGCCATGATGCTGTCAGAGAAGGTGACGGGGGACTCCAGCTGGATCAGGGCGATGTCGTTACTGTCAATTTTGCAGGAAAAAAAACACACACACACACACAAACATGCCTATTCAGATTTATCAGAGACCCACAGTGGATAATGCCTGTTATGTTGAACTTTTGAAATTTGATGAGGTCTTGCAGTTCACAGCTGTGTCATTTTTTACCGGATGAACAAAGGGTTCCACTTCTCGTGCACAATGATGTTAGCGGTGCCCATGAACACAGCCTCTTGCTCTGTCTCTACCAGGTTGTGCTTTCCCATGGCTACTCTGTACTCCCTGCCAGAGCTGCAGGTTAACAGAGAGAGGGGTGTAGATGGAGTAAAGACTTCTCATAGTTTATTTTCTTGAATCAGTTTTATGCGTGCGGTGTGACTGATGTATGATTAAAAAAAATGGGTGAGCGCTTTACATCTCATAACCTTAAAATAAGAGTGAATTGCTCCTTGGATCTTGAGTTTCATACCTGATACAGTGAGCAGCAGTCAGGACCCACTGGTCAGAGATCAGGGTACCACCACAGGTGTGTCTCCACTCTCCCTGTCTGTTATACTGCAGAGAAATCTAGGGGACACGCACACACAGACTCAGCTCATTGGTTTTCATCTGGCTTGGCCGCTATGGATGATTGTGTTTTTTGCAGACTGTTGCAGTCTGTATGTCCTGATGGTGGTTCATCCTGTGGTCTACACCTACTGTGGTGTCCATTTCCCACATTGGACACAGTTTGACTTCAGTGTCTTCAAAATTTTTATCTGAACTTTTATTTGTCTCTATAAATCTGCTTGGGTCTTGTCTTGTAAAATTTATTATCATGTTTTGATGTATGTATTTTTGTAACATGCACCAACATCTTGAATTATAAAGTTTCCTCTCTCTAAGTCTGCAGACGATATTTTGTTTTGTAAGAGACTTTTTATTTTTTTTACCTGCCAGGGCCAGCTGTTGGGCCTGACATCTTCTCCTCCAACCACCCTGGTCAAGACGGGGGGGAAAGTGGGCACACCGCACCCGTAAGCTGAGAGGACAGACAGAGACAGACTCTTTTAAGAGTGTGAACTTGAGTATTGTTTGTAAACATGGCTTAAGACCGATTTCTGCCGGAGCGCTGTGAGTGAGTGAGTGAGTGAGTGAGTGAGTGAGTGAGTGAGTGAGTGAGTGAGTGAGTGAGTGAGTGAGTGAGTGAGTGAGTGAGTGAGTGAGTGAGTGAGTGAGTGAGTGAGTGAGTGAGTGAGTGAGTGAGTGAGTGAGTGAGTGAGTGAGTGAGTGAGTAATCCTTACCACCGACAACAAAGAGAGCAAGCACCACAAACTTCATCGTGTCCACATAGCCTGAGTTAACAGTCAGACATATTTATACCCCTTATGAGGTTATGCAACCTATCAAAGCTGAAGCAAATTCGTAGAAAACTTTGCCTTTGACAAATCCTGATGCTGGGGTGGAGCCAGGACGATCAAAACAGCTCTGGATGCTGTGGAGTACAGAAGACAAGGCCAAGTGGTTTTTGACCTGCTGGAATAAAAGACTTTTTAGACAGTTCATTTCATAACAGAGAGCAGCACTTTAGGTCAAGTAAAGCTCTCTGTACTCTGATCTCACTAAAAAGCATGTGCATTCCTTTTTAGTGGTAGAAATTTCCAAAGTAATGATGAGTGTTTCATGCCCGTGTCCTACCCATGCATAAATGAGCCATCCAGTTCACTTGCGTAGATTCCAACAGTCCTGCATACCTCTACACAAAACAAGCCTCTCTGTAAAAATCAGCTTCAAAATGTAGTGCAGTGAGTTACACATTTTTCATTCTTCCAACAATGTTTTTTTTTATATGGTTGTAAATGTATTTGACCTATAACGGAAAAGGTTGTGTACTGTGCAAAACACAGGTTGCTTTGATAACAAGTGCCCCGTGAGGAATCTATACACAGTCCAGGTGTTGTTAGTATAAAGTGCACCAATGAAACAGCTGACAGAAATACTGGGAGTGTTACTGCAAAATTGATCTTGCTACACTCCAGATAAATGCATAGATGTTGTAAATAATTTCCAGCTGTACTGGATCAGTATGAAGTTATCAGTGAACTTCAATATCAGTCATAGATTATTTATGGAACTTTTACATCCACAAAGCAATCTTGTTTTGTTACTTTCTTGTTTTATGTGTTACTTGTGTTTTATGTGTCCAAATACCATAAAAAGTCTAATTAAATGACTGGTGTGTAATATGTTGAAATATCTGTTGTTGGGTTAATTTTTCATTATTAACCAAGAATTTTGAGTAGTCAATATTTGATATCAGCTGTATACAAACATGGTTTAAAGCATATAGGTTCACTTTTACAAGAGAGTGACGTCTTTTTTAAAGTCTGTCAGTATATGCATTGAATCAACACTGTGGATGTTCACATACAAAAAAGTATTTTAACCCTTACATTCTGTTCAAATCCTGTACCCTCACAGTATGCTCCGTGCCAAAATTGACCCGGCCCATGTAGCAAGTATTTTCACCAAAGTTCTAACCCCAAACCTATTTATAATGTTTAAATGACCTATGCTACGTCAAAAAAATATTGATTAGTCCTTCCTAAATGTTTCAAACAGCAGGGAAAGTGTATTTTTTCATTTTCAACACCACTCGTTTTTTTGGTGAAATATATATTTTGGAGAAGAAAATCTATTACACAGGATAATTCAATTCAATTCAATTCAATATAGCTTTATTCATCCACTTGGGGCAATTGAAAAGCAGCAGCTGAGCAAACATTAAAATAGAATAGAGAAAAAGGAGAAAAAAATAAAAAAACAGTATAAACGTCATCAGTATAAATGTCAACGTCATAAATATAATGTCATCTAATATTATGTAAGACATAAAAATATAAAAGTCATAATGATTTGAATATATATTTTTTTGAACAACAAACTTAAGGTGACCAGACGTCCCTGATCTCCGGGGACAGTTCCCAAATTGGATGACCTGTCCCCAGCAAAAGCTGTCCCCGAAAATGTCCACGATTTAAACATTTCAGAATAAATTTCCTCTTAGGGAAACTGCTATATTTCTTAATCTGAAGTGATAAAAACAACTCAGGTGGCTGTGAGACACCTGTGAAGTTCACACAGGGGTTGAGTTAGAGCGATAAGGTGTATTTGTGGATATCTGTTGTTACTTATCTCAAGGCTGAGTTTTTTTTCCCACCACCTTTTTCCTGGCTGCTTTGAGGGAAATGTTAAGTAACACATTCAGGAGTGTTAAAGCACTATATAAAGAGGAGCATGTCCCCCTGAGTCTTTACTGAAGACAGTCACAATGATGTTCGTGATCTTGGCTTTGTTTGTCGCCGGTGGTAAGTTTGATATGATTCATGACAGATGATGTAATGTGTTCCCACATTCTATTTACAAAATGTGGTCTGGGAGGTTGATATTAAGAGTTGATTTTACAGTTTTTAAAATATTCACATTTTCACGTTTGCACTGTCAAAGGCTTGACATACTGTTTTATAACATTAAATATTGATAGAAATATCACTGCTTTTATTCAGGCCATTTACCACCTTTATTTCTAATTATGTTCCTTAGCCTACGGGTGTGGCCTGCCTACCTACCCTCCTGTCATTTCCAGGGTGGTTGGTGGAGATGATGTTCGTGAGAACAGCTGGCCCTGGCAGGTAAGCTTCTCTTCAGACTCTCCTTTTCTCTTCTTTGATGTCACACAGAGCTCAAGTTTTGTATTTCTCCTTTCATCAGGTGTCTCTGCAGTACAGGAGTGGCAGCAACTTCTACCACACCTGCGGTGGAACCCTGATCTCTGACCAGTGGGTCCTTACTGCTGCTCATTGCATTGGGTAAGACTTACAGTTGAAACAATCTTAAAGCAAACATTAATTAGACAGACAAGACAAAAAGGGACAGGCATGTCATCTATGAGCTACTTCATTGAGGCATTTTGGCAGGAAAGTTTTGGTAGAAAGACACCTCAACTTTTACTTTAGTGTAATGCAAATACACTGCAGAGAGTGAGAATAGCAGTTCAGTTTGGTCGTTTAACTAAAGACTTTCATCTACATGCAGCCACTGATGGTTGATGTTTCTAATTTTGTACTAAACCATGTAAGAGGTACACTTATCATTTGCAGTTGGGGCTGATTTAAACAGTCCAAGGGTTACATAAACACAGTGTGTGTCAGCAGCAGTGATGGTATTATCATTGGAGTACAGGAAAATCCATTTACTTGTTACCGTATGTTTGTTATCAATAAGAGTCCTAGAAAGCTCTCATCCTAAACTAACTTTAAAGGGATATTTCAGTAGTTTTGAAGTGAGGCTGTATAAGCTACTTCATATTATTAGTCAGTGTATTAATTACATGGATGCTGGTCAGCTCAGCCCCTTCGCTAAGAAATTGCTGGCAGAAACAGGATGCTAGATATGCTACCATTTTTAGCAGATGAGGCCAACTCTGCCACATGACTTGGCTCAAGTACTCATCCAGGTTTAAGAGTATACTCTACCCACACAATTCTCAGCACTTGACTTTAACCATTTGTTTTTGCACTGTTAGTGGATGCCAGGAGTTTCTCAGTAAAGGGGCTGATGTGGCTGGATCTATTGTGGCTACAACACCAACCCTTGCTCTGAATCTGATTGTCTCTCTTTATCTGCTCTACTGTACACAATGAAGGCAAAATGCCCCTCAAATCAATAATAATAGAAATAATAATTACCCTTAACCCTTTTTTGTTTTGTTTTGCATGTTTTTTTGTGGCTGAGCAGAAGCCGTACCTACAGGGTCTACCTGGGCAAACACAACCTGAAGAACAGCAATGAGCCCGGCTCCATTGCCATCAGCCCTGGCAAGATCGTTGTCCACGAGAACTGGGACTCTTACAGAATCCGGTGGGTTCTGTCTATTAATCCATCTTGTTAAAGCAGCTTGTAAATTAAACTTTTGATACTCTGATTCATTTTTTTTTTATTAAACGTAAGCTTTATTGATTTATTCCTTTAGCAACGACATTGCTCTGATCAAGCTGTCCACTCCTGTGACCCTCTCTGACTCCATCATGCCCGCCTGTCTTCCCAACTCTGGAGACATTCTGGATCATGGTGCTCCTTGCTACGTTACTGGCTGGGGTCGTCTCTGGAGTAAGTTCTGAACTGTTGTGCTACTTTATTAATAAATATCTTTCTTGTTTTTAGTTATATTTGGAGTTACACTGGACTCAAAAGTCTGATCCTTTGCAAAAGAATTTTTGACTTGCTAATATAATTTATGATTGCTGATAAATTCTTTGTGCCTCAACTTACAACAATTTAAAATCTTACCTCAGGTTTTCCTCTGCCTCTGTAACAGGGGTCTTCTTCTCGATATTGACTCTGCCTGTTCTGCTAAATATTAGAAATACAATTTGCAGCACAATTACAACCCAATATCATGTTTTCACAATTGAAAAAAGTTAAAACATTGACACTTGACATAAGATATCAACATTTACTAATCTCATACAGACAAGACTTAAGCTTTATTAGTCCTTCCAAAACCTTTTTGCATCCAATCCTGAGTCTGAATGCCCTGTTGTTTTTCTAAAGCCGGAGGTCCTATTGCTGACATCCTGCAGCAGGCCCTTCTCCCCGTGGTCGGACACTCCACTTGCACCAAGTATGACTGGTGGGGCAGCCTTGTCACCGACAGCATGATCTGTGCTGGAGGAGATGGACAGCTGGCTAGCTGCAATGTGAGTTGAATTCATTTTACAGTATTTTTCATACTAAATCCCAGCCTGTGCTCATTCTACATTTTTGTGCATAACTGTAATTTAAATTCCTGCTTTCTCTCGCTCTGTTTACCTGCAGGGAGACTCTGGTGGTCCCCTGAACTGTCAGAACCCTGATGGCTCCTGGGATGTTCATGGTGTGGTCAGCTTTGGCTCTAGCATGGGCTGCAACTACCCCAAGAAGCCCTCTGTCTTCACCAGGGTCAGCGACTACATCTCCTGGATCAACAATGTAAGTACTAAGCAATAAAGGTGCCAAAAGATTGATTCAAAAGATGCTATGATTCACTTCTACATTCAGGTCAATGTGTGGCTCATGCAGACAATGTGAAATGTTTCCTTTTTGGGACATAGAGCCACTCGTACAGTAACTCAACAGATGTCAGGCTACAAAACCAGTGCAGGTCACCCTTTGTTTGGAATTATGATATAGCTGCAACTATTTTTCATTCAGTACTGGTGATTTGGTTTTCTAATGCAATTTTTGATTTAACATTTTCCACCATACACAATTTTATATGATAGTTTCAAAGCCAATAAATACCACAGGATTTGCCATCTTATTTGAACTGAAGCTTCATAGCAGCTAAGCAGAGCACACTTTGTGATAAAGAGAACAGTTTTTCTAGCGCCCTCTGGTGGAGAATTCAAGCCTTGTCTTCATGCTTCTTTTTGTAGGTGATGACCAGTAACTAAGGTGTGGTGAGGTAAAAGTCAATGTGAGTTCTGCACTTGACCATCAAATAAAGAATGTAATTGATCAAAGCAAGTTTCCTGTGTTTTCTTTCCTTTTTTTTTTTCTTTTTTTTTTTATATTGCACCCTCATCTCATCAGGAAAACAGTCCCAAAAGAGGTTGGATTAAGTATCCTGGTCAGACAAACCAATCAAAATGTTACAACAGGGCCTAGAACCGCATATTAATCGGTCAGCAAAAAGTATGATACTTTTTTTTGGATGGAGAAAGTTATTTTCTCAAGACAGGCGCCGCTCGAAGGTTAAAAGCCACTGTTAGACTGTCACTCTGGTAGTACAGTCCATGTTTAACCTTCATAAAGTGTATGATAACACCAGTGGCCTTACGTTTAAGTAAAGCATGTTTTAACTTGACCATTTGAATTTGACTGATTTGACTTGACTAACCCCCCAGAAAACACTTTGAAAACAATCAGAGTAGAGCACAAAAAAGTCTAGGTTAAAATGTCAAATTAATTTGCCAAGTGTAGCAAACATTAGCAGAGGTAGCACCACCACCCTTCAGTTTCCCTTGTAGGTAGACGTCGACTGGTTGTCCCATTCAAATGGCTATCCACCAATTCAACAAGACTCAGCTTGAGTAAAAGTATAGCTAGATTTTCTAGAGAAAAATACTGCCAAATCACACCATGCCACACTTACACCTGTTGTGTGTGCTTGTATAGAGTGTAGAGAATTACAGCATTATACACCATTTTGAACCTACAAAAAGCCTGTATAATTACCATGGTGGTGCAAGCCAGAGCCATTGCTACTGCAGCTGTCATGCAGCCAGCACGCTGCCAGTCTGAAACAGCCATAACCAACTGTAGTGCCTTGAGTTGGTGGAAATGCGTTTGTGCTTATGTATAAGTGTGACAAAGGAAGAGATCTTGACATTTCAAAAAATTCTGTTAAATACGCTAAATGATGCCTATCAAGGGAAACATAATGAATCTGTTAAAAATTACTACTATACAGTGATTGCTACACAAAATACAACATTCAATGTATTTCATGAGCCATTTAGAGAATCCCAAAAAGTAGTTATAAATTAAAATGAGGCAAAATTGTAAATTTTAGATCAGTCTGTAATATAATTGTTAAATTATGTTAAAATCTTAAAACAAACATGACAGTGTGGAGTCTGTGAAGAAAACACAGCCCCTTTTGTGAAAGGATCCAGTTATAAAAAGCTTAAACCGGGGCCAGGAAAGACAGCTGCCACTATATTCCATCTCAGAACAAGTTGGATTGACACCTAACATTCATAGTTTTTTTTTGTATCTATATTAGCTACATAAGCTGTATGCAGAGTAAAGACTATTGTGTCATTCAATTAAAAGGTATCCTTTTGATGGATGTATACTTTTTTTTTTTTTTTTGGGGGGGGGGGGGGCATATTATAACTAATATTAAATGTTTCTTTCCTTTTATTGGTTGTTCTTGAAATGTCTGATTACATCACATGATTGTTTGACCTGAGAATTTTACCCATGTGTGTTACGGAGCCAGTGTGTTTCTACCTAAACACTCAGACAAAACAGTGTAACAAAATCCATCCAGCCATCCATCTTCACCCGCTTATCCGGTGTGGGGTTTGAATTGTGTAACAAAATTCAAACCTAAATACAGATTAAACAGTCAATATGCAATTGTGTTCATTTCACCATAGCTGTAAGAAAGGGTGCAACATGGACATTTATTACCGATGTGTAAAGGAATATTAGGTGTCTTCTTTTTAAAAGTGCATATTATATCCAAAAATCAAGGAGATTTTACCATGCAACACTGTGTCATATTAACTATGGTCCACCCCTGAGAATAGATATACACAATGAAGAAAGCATTAGCACACCCACTTTCAACAGTTGTCACTTCTCTTGTCATAACCCCAAGCGCTGTGCTGTTTTGTAACTGGACAGATCTCATTAATAACCATGATGTTCTATGACAATTATTGACTGAGAACAACTGTCCCTCTGCTTTCCTCTAAAGGCCCATTGGCATGTTAATTATCATCGTCAACATGGGGGAAAAAATTATGGCAGTTTAATAAGCAGGCCTATCATTTACATTCTCTCCTCCCTTTTTGAAGTTTGGGTGATTTTTGCTTGAGAGCTCAGGATTTCACCTTGGTTACCTGTACTTTTCTAGACCTCATTTATCAAGTCAGGTTTGCAACTGCATGCTCTGTTTGAGAGATGGCTCATGTTGATCATCAGTCACTATTTTTTCTGGTGATTGGTGAGTTAAGAAATAAAATTGATAGTTTTGTTAAGCACTTGAAGCAGCAAACAGAGTACTAAAAAGGCAACTTGCTGCTCCAGGTACCCTGGTTTTAGAGATGCTTATAAAAAGCACAAAATATTGTATCTGGGGAAAGTTCTTGTACGAATTATTGCATTTCTATTGTATTTCTATTTTTTGTATTTTTTGATCTTGACGCTTTAGAGAAGCTCTTTGTCTATGAACTCAGACACAGTAAGATGCATTTTTATTCATTAAGAAAGTCATTAACTTTGACCACAGAGAGCATTTTTAATATCTATGACAGACATATCATATTTAGGATTAAAGGTAAAGTAAAGGCTATCACTTTGTTTAATGTATTCCCAGCTGACCCTAAATTAAATGCAACAACTTGGCATGTCTCTTTTGGACCTGCAAGACAGGTAAAAAGAATAGAATAAAAATTAACACCAGGTGGGATATTGCCTGGTAAATGTACTGTATGTATGTCTTGTTTCACAATTAATAAACAGCAATGTGGACACATATGCAACACAAAAAATCCATCCTATTTTTCAAATATCTCAAACATTCTTTTATGAACAAATTACATAGTCATGCCACAAGATGGAGACAGTTTTCTGTTTTGGAGCTCAGTCACAGTTTAAGAAGCGTAATCCTTTACATTTTTATGAGGCCTTAGTTAATTTGACTTCTGTAATAAGGTGTAAACATGTGAACGCGCGCGCACACACACACACACACACACACACACACACACACACACACACACACACACACACACACACAAAGAAATTTGGGGCTGAGTGCACCCAAAATATATGTTTGCCTGAAATATTGGTTCAACAGAAACTCTGGTAGTTAAAGAAATCTCTTGGAATGAAACAGCTTCTGTGTTCTGTCTTTCTTATGTTTTGGTAAATGTTGTTTTGCAGGTGTGAGGACTCTAACCCATACACTGAACCCAACAAGCAGTAATGGTGAACAATATTGCCAAAGCATTTTAACAAAAATAATACCAACAAACAAGATAATGATAATAACGGTAATAATAAGTAGAATAATAACAACAATAATGGTAATAACAATAATAATAAGAATAAAAATAATAATAATAACAACAACAATCATAATAATGAGGAAAAATATTACAACAACAATAATAATAAGATTGTTAATAATATTAGTAATAATAATGAATAAACAGTGTCAGAATCATGTTTGCAGATAAAAACTCCGGAGCAGCTGTTCAGGTTATTTTGAGCAGCTCTTCTTCTCTTTTCTGATGGCATGTATTCAGATATCTTGCTGCCTCCAAAGCCGTGACCCTTTGTTCCCCTAAGAGATGTCAAACTTTTCCTGGTCAGTGAGTTGGGTAAAGTTGGGTGTTATGTGTGTGAGTTTAGTGTATGTGTGTGTCCTGATGTGTGTGTATGTGTCACAGTGTAACAGGAAGTGCTGCTCTGTTTCCATCTGTGTGTGAGGACAGAGCTGATACAGCTGCTCCTCTCTGTGCAGCCAGGTCTGTCTGTGGTGGCCACTCTCTATGTAATCTAGATAATCTGCCATGAGTATTGTCTGATTAGGGACAGATAGCATTGAAGTTTGCAGTACTGTCTGATTAGGGCCAATAGTTGATGTAGTTGTCTTTTTGTTTTTGTATAATTTGGTTGGGGGCCGGTGTGCTCGGTGGTCTTGGTGCTTGTGAAGCTGAGCTTGTGGACCAGCTCTCTCTCTCTCTCTGTGTACTCTCTCTCTGTAGCTTTGCTTATACCCTCACCCATCTGTTCTTGTGTCCTGGGTTAGACGTCTACTGAAAGCTACACATGTTGGTGGCCTCAGGGTGTGGGTTAAATGTTTGGGTGTGAGATGGATGCTGCAATGAACCTTGAGTAGGAGCATTCAGCCCATATGTAGCCCTTTCAAGTTCAAGTACAGTTAAACCAAATGTAAATACAGTGTCTTTTGTGTAGTCATTTGATCACACATTGGCTGCACTTTGCTGTTTCAAGTTGCTGGTACATTAGCAGTTGTCCAGAAATTATTTACCACTGTAACAATAAAGTCAAACTGTCATCTCAGTGTGATATGTAATGAAATAAATAAATGCAGACTGGCATGGTGGATACTATTCTCTACCACCCAAGTAACAGTCAAGGCTTGCTAGCTGCTGAGAAACTGAATGTAACTAAAGCACAGGACAGAGGCTGTTCTGTGGTCCTGTCAATGCATACAACCAGTGTTTAGCATCAAGTCACTCCATTTCTTAGTCTGATTGAAGTGTGCCAATTGTCAACCGCAGTGACTTCATGCCAGACATGCTCTAACTGGCCCATAGTCTCTCACTTTGTGCTCCTGGGTGTGCTTATCACCTCTTTCAAATAGGGCCATAAGATCACAGTCACATTTACTTGTTGTAAAAGACCACTGTGTGTGAAAAGAGCTGTGGGTGTGATGTTGGGTAAGTGACATTGAATCTGTTCACTTGTCACCCCATCGACTTCGTACACATTCTACAAGCAGCATTAATAGCTGATGAGATCCTATTGTTGAAATTCAGTAACATTAAATTCAAAATTGAAGTTTTATTTGCTTTCACAAGCACATGTGTAATTCTACTTTTCCTTGTTTCATTGATACTTTCATTAAATACACTTCTCAGTTTGTCTGATCTTTATGAGTTTCTGCACTCATAGCCTGATGGTGAGGCTTTGATTACATGTTCCAGCTGTCGTGAGCTGTGGACTTAGTGATGCCATGTGCTTTTTTTTTTAGCATGTATGGGCGTTACAGTGGAAAATAGACATGCAGGTAGGGAAACCACCTACTTTTATTTCGACAAAGTGGAATTATAAAGTACTGAAGAGTATTAATTTTGACTCTGTGTTGTGCTGTTCAAAAGGAGGTACAATTTGACCAAGCACTAATAAAATGTTGCCATTTGAGGGGAAAATAGTACCTTTATCGACGAGGCCCAGTGGCCTTGCTGATGTCATCATCACCTTGTGTGTGTGTGTGTGTGTGTGTGTGTGTGTGTGTGTGTGTGTGTGTGTGTGTGTGTGTGTGTGTGTGTGTGTGTGTGTGAGCGTGCGCACAATGAGGCAGACTCTTCCCGTGTGGGCATCAGGGGACAAAGTAGTCTTTATGCAATGTGCTGGGCTCCAAGGCAGAAACATTGTTGAGCAGTAAAACCTTCTGTAACCAAAACCACATGCTCCGGAGTGGAGGACAGACAAGTAAAGGCTGCCTCTGCAGCTCTACATTAGGAGTTGGTGCCCTATCATCAGGGGCTCAGGGGTTCAGGCACTCTTAAACATTTAACATCATGCATTTTATATGAATAAAAATAAAAAAATAAAAAAAAATAAAAAATGGACTGCCCCTGATAGAAATGATGTAAAGATGTCTAGATAGTAGACAGTGAGAATCAGACAAAGAGTTGTTGAACAATGTTTTAATGTCATATACTCCAGATTACGACCAATGTCTACGCTGGTGCCAAACTAGATAATCCAATCATTTTACATGCTGTACTTCTTTGTTAATAACGGCTGTGGACTTTTTAAAAAATTATCATTATTTTACTCATAACCTCTGATTCTGCAGATCTACCTTTGCCATCTTTCATTATTTTCAGTTTTCCTTCTCGTCCAATAGAACAAGACTTCCTTTATTTGATTCTAGTTATGCACCGTGGTGGTTTAGCGTTGATATGTGGTCATTTTTAATTTATTCCACAGCCCCCTCAGATCATTATGTGCCCATCTGGAAATACTGTGAAGTGCTGCTGCCTCCTAAAGAGGTCGGTCCTAATGCAAGGGATAGAGTGCCACATTAGCTAGCACAGAGTCAGGGAAGTAACAGAATATAGAAACAATCAGCCCCCAAGGTTTAGGCTGAACCTTTGACCTAAACCCAGTGCCCCCATTTCCCTCTCCCCTTTAACGCCTGCTCATACCTGCCAAGCTTGGCTGAATGCTTGCCCACTTTTACCCCAAAAATGACTCTTTACTCTTAGTTTCCCCTCATTTAGTTCTGTTTTAGCAACAATACTGTTTATAAAGTAAGAATAGCAGTCTGCTTGACTGTAAAACCCAGCTTCATATTTGAATCATTATATTTTCTATGTAGTATCATTAAAGTTTTTTTAGGTTCAATCAATCAATCAAACTTTATTTATATAACACTTTTCCTACAGGAGTGTGACTCAAAGTGCTGTGCAGTCAAGTTAAAAACAAAAATAAAAAACTATCCCAGATGCCCCTTTACCCCCACCGCCAACCGCCACCCACACACACACACACGCACGCACACACACACACACACACGCCGACACACCCGCACATACACACACTAAGATAATGGATAATGAGGCTGAGTACAGATGAACCAGTTGAGAAGGCGCCATCAGAGGAGCCGTCAGCACCAGGAGCAGAGAGCCACTCGCAGCCACAGGACGCCGACACACGGCCAGTGGAGGGATGTGTCAGACAGCAACCTCCACCAGGAACCCCGTGGCCGGCCCCTGCAATCACAAGCGACCACTACTCCCGGTGCCGAGGGCTCCCTCAGAGAAAACAGGGGGGTCCTAAAAATGATAAAAGGATAAAAACAAGTAAAAAGGTTGCTATATCAGAATTTTTAATACAAATACAAAGCCGTGACCAACAATAGCTGAAAAGAACATGAAAGTTGCATGTTATTGTCTAATAGACTGGGTAAAATTGTGAACTCATCACCTGTCTGTCAGAGAGGCTCCAACTTTGCAGTCAGTTTATTGAATTTGGGATTGCTAGTTCAAGTCTTGAGCTGCTTCAGCCAGGATCAGTAATGGTTTCTTTTGAAGTTATTGAGTTGTGTGTCAGGGGCCATGTTTGTATTATTGCAGGTACTCTAAGAGACCATTGTTTAAGGACCTCACAGGATTCTTCTAATCTAATTGGTCATGGATGTCCTTGGCTGCTCAGGGCCTTTCTCTTTGCTTTTAGGATTGACAGGGCTGTTCACGACTTTAAAAGTCACTTTTCCAGTACAGCCTTGTTTAATAACAGAAGAGAGATGCATGTGTATCAATGCACACAGCCCCTCAAGCCCAGTAAATGCCCAGTCTTACTAATTTTGGACTTGATATTCAACTCCACCCCTGTAAGGATCTCTATCCAAGAAGGAACCAGATTTTAACCTCCTCTCCCTCTTATCCCAAAGCCGCTAAGCACCCTCCTCTTCTCCTCTTTTCACCTTTAGTCTGCCGATGACATACCTCCCTGTGTTTCTCTATCCAGTGAAAACACTGCAAGATCCTCCCATGCTATTACTTACACTGCGCTTCCTTTATCCCCCCCATCCCCAGCCAATCCCTGACCACCACAGTCTCCACCTCTATATTCTGAATTGCCAATCTCAATCTAATTTATGGAATATTTTGGAGGTAACTGTATACGGCGGCAGGAGAGATAACATCTCCAGGCCCCTGTGAAGGACAGGAACTAGGCAGTGTGTGCTTAATAACATAAACTGCTGAAAAAGGGCCCGGACCGGTGCATTGGCAGAGGAGCAACCGGTGAGACGGTGGGATGGATAGTGGGAGAGAGAAGAGAGGGGACCTAGTGTTCTGGGGTGGGGTGGGGTGGGGGTAATTGAGACCATGTGAGCCTCCCCCAGTGGAGGGATTAGAGAAGAAACGGAACTCTCTCAGCCTCAAGATCGCTTTCAATTAGATGCGCCCAGAGCGAAGGTATAAGAGAAGACAGGGAGGGTGAGGGACCAGCATGGTCCAAAATGTCTGGGCAAAAAAAAAGGGGAAAGGTGAAAGAGAAGTTAGGGTTGTGTTCCGACCTCCTTCTCTTCCTGCATATCTGTGCCAGAGTCTGGGCTGTCTGGGTCATGACTGTGTCATGGTAAGACTAGATCCATGTCATAATAGCCAGCTTGTGATGACAGCATTGCTATTAGCTAACATTTTATTTATACATCTCTGTTTCAACCTGCATTCAAGGGAAAGACAACCAAGTTGCTTTTTTCTTACAATGATACTCCGCTAAATACAAAGTCTACATTAGGAGTTTTATAGTTTGTCTTCTTCTGTGCTTCTCCTGTTTATATCTCATGACACTGTACATACAAAGCACAAATTGATGCTGGAGCCTCTAGGCCTTGACCATTGGATCTGCTGACCTCTAAGAAAGTCCTACCCCACTGTGTTGCAGCCATAACATATTTGTGAGTTGGCTTAGAGTTGGTCCTCTTAATATCATGGCTGTACTACATCAGTTTTGACAGGTTGCTGACAGATGAACCAACCCTGTCTGTTAGTGGTTTTGCAGTTCTCCTACTGACTTTTGTATAAACATAAAATGTGCCAAATTACCAAAGTCAAAAGTTTAATAAAAATGGTCACACATCAAACGTATTACAGACTTGAGTTAAAACAGTCTAAAACCTTCAATATTAAAGACAGTTGGGAAAATGTTGCTTTTCACAGCATAGTAGAGAGGGGGGAAAGCTGGAAAAGTGAGCATGTGCAGTGATGCATTACCACTTAACAGAAAAGTCTCATACAGTAAAAATGGAATTATGTCTCAGAGAGTGATGAGGGATACATTGTGTTTCTTTGACTTATCTTATGAAGGGATGCCTTAGTTTTGAACATAGACTGTATATACGATAGACACTGTATATATGGCTCCACCTTCCGCCATTATACGAATTTGAAGCCGAACCACTCTCTGTATTTCCAGGATTTTCTCCACTTCCTCACCTTAACAGCCCAACTTGGGTAGTTTTTAACCGAACACCAGGGTTGAAAAGGGACCGACTACTTATTAGGTTATTTTGACCCATAATATTGGGTTATTTAAATTAACCCAAATTTTGGGTTGACTCAGTAACCCTTTTTAAGGGTCAAGTTTACCCAATCTTCAAGTTAATTTGACTCAATAATCTTGGGTTAAGTTGATATATGCATTTGGGGATGCATTTTTTGGGAGCTTTGTTTTTACAACCTGTACCTTATTTTCCCATGTACCTTTATCTAACTGATTGTAGGCCACAGCGCTAAGGGTCTTGCCTAAGGGCCCACACTGGTGGATGTAGTATGCTCGAGAAGCAGAACTGAAGAAGCTTCTTGGATGAGGGGCGAAACGTCTTCTCAACTCTACACAGTCCATTTGCCTGATTTTGGAGCCTTCGAGACGGTTAAAATCTCACCTAAATTAAGCCGATGAGCCTGAACCCCCAAAGATGTTGTAAATGAAGCCAGGGCATCACTTCATTTCCCTGTCTGGCCTTTTGAAAGAAATGCCAAACCAGACCCTCCTGTGTTTAGGTTTTTGTTGGCACAGCCGAGTAAAAGACATGATTGTTTAAAAATGTGTGTTTATTTTCACAGTCTCTAAATGTTTTAGAGGTAACTCCTGCAGTTCAAGACTGACAGTCAGAAATCTCCATGTTATGCTTTCAGCATCATTTAACTTCAACTGAAGGTTTATATGTATGCAGTTTCATGCCTGCAGTCTGTTCCTGTCTACTTTGAAAGCTGGCTGCTGCAGGTATTTGTATATCATTTTCAAAGGGTCATAAACTTGCACCATGTTTGAGTAAGTGATGCTTTACCAACAGGCTCAGATATTTAGCAATAAGTACTGAATGTAGATGCTGCTTTAAATATGCTGGTGACAGCTCAATTTTTCTTTGCTGTTAAATATATGTATGTTTTTTCTTTGTGTTTAAGAGTTTGATTTTTTAAAAACTTGGTTCCAAGACTTCTTTTTTATTGATAATATACTTCACCTCTCTGAGAACCCAAACATGCATTGGCAGATTTACCCATCAACTTGTTAATTGAACAATCTTGTATTTCACTCTCAGGAGTTTTTCACCAAATAACACACAAGTCAATGTTATGTCAAAGTTTATTTTACGACCCCACCAGCACTCACATACACTAAGAAAACTGATGGAAAGGTACACAAACAAGTGTATGATGGCTTTGTAGAGATCGGATTTACAACTCCAAACATTTTTGAAACAATTCTATTCAACTACTGTCTCTTTCAGGGTCTGTATCCCCTATAGGGTCATTTCTTGCTGCTACCCTCTTTCTTGTCGTTTTGATCAACTGTGACATTATATGACATTGTATTAAGGCGAGAAAATACACTTGGCTCAATGCATAGGCCAAAGAAAGTACAATAAATGAATCCAGAGGACCGGTGTCAGATTCCTGTGAAAAAGTCAGGTTGACTCCTTTAAACAACAAAACATATATTAGTTATGACACATTAATACCCTTTTAATTTTGAATTGGAATCATGACAGGTATATTTTTGCTGGGTATTCCTGGTCTTCGTCAGCATGCGTGCAGCTGAATTTTGTAGGAGCTGAAGCTGTGAAATGTTCTTTTTAGGAAGACCAGAGAGGAGAGCATTGCAATAGTCAATTCTACAGGTGATAAAAGCATGAATAAGAGTCTCTGCATTGGCTTGAGAGAGAAACTGGCGCACTCTGGAGATGTTCTTTAAATGATAAACTGCCTTTTTGGTAACATCTCGTATGTGTGGCTCAAAACCGAGGTTTGAATCAAATGTAACACCCCGATTTTTAATTTCTTTGCATGGATTAAAAGCTAGGGCTCTGAGTTTTCGCTCCAGTTTCTCTCACTGGACATGTGCCACTAACTAACACCTGAGTTTTGTCCTGATTTAGCTGCAAAAAGCTGTCTGCAATCCAGGACTGGACGTCTAAAATACAATTAAAAAAGTCATCAATGGGCCCGGAGTCATCAGGAGACACGGCAATGTAAAGCTGTGTGTCATCTGCATAGAGGTGAAACTCTGATGCTGTGCCTCCTGATGACATCTCCCAATGTTAACATGTAGAGATTAAAAAGTGTTGGACCTAAAATTGAGCCCTGGAGAACGCCACATTCCATTTCATATGTTTTTGATGAGCATTCCCCAACGCTAACATACAATTTCCTGTTTTGAACCAGTTAAAAACAGTACCAGAGATGCTCATGAGGCTATGAAGTCTGTTTGAGAGAAATGTGTGATCCACTGTGTCAAAGGCTGCACTCAGGTCCAACAGAACTAAAACAGAGATTAATTTCTTGTCCATGTTGGACCTGAGGTCACTTACAGTTTTGACCAGTGCTGTCTCTGTACTGTGATTTAAAAAAAAAAAAAAAAAAAAAACAGATAGAAATATTTCATGGATATTTTTAAAAGTCATAAAATCATTCAACTGGTTGAAAACAATCTTTTCTTAAATTTTGCTTAAAATGGCAGGTTGGACACAGGTCTGTAATTATCAGGTATTGCTGATAATCCAAGTTGTTTCTCTTCAGAAGGGGTCTGACACAGGCTGTCATGGAAACGCAGACCGCTGTGTATTGCTATCATGCGGTAATTGCTGAAGTTGGTATAACTAGAAAAGCAAGCAGTCTGCAACATTCATCTCTCGAGGGGGGTCTAACTCGGTGTTAGAGTGTGTTTGACCAAGGCTTAAATTTATGCCGTAGTATCCCTTTAACACCTCCACAATCCATCCCATTGCACTCAGTATTCTAAGGTTATTCAAGTCTTTTCTGGTAGTTTAACTGTCTATAAAGTCTCCATCTGTTCACAATGAACACACATAACAAAACAAAAAAACCTTTACATTCTGATTAGTGATTCAAAAACGTTGAAAAATCACTTATCCTCAACACACATGGTGACTTAGAGTGGTCAGTATAAACTGTAAATAGTCTGTAAAAATGACACTGCTGATTGAGAACATTTTGTGAAAAACTATCTGCTAACATATTTTTGTGCCATCCATTTATACTTGAACTCGTTTTAGTATTTCAACATTATATGTGCAATAAAACTGAGTACACATTTCCTGAGCTGAAAGGACAGACTTGGAGATCTTTAAGTGTGCTGGGTTAAAGGCCAGAGTCATTGTCAGCCCCTGTGAGGTAATTATGTGTTTGTGTTTATAGCATGTTGACTTTCCACTCTGTCTCTCTGCAGCACTCCATCTTTCTGCCCCCCACCCCCCCCCACCCCCTCCTCTTCCTTCTCTCCCTCGCTGTTCTTTGCACAAGTCGTCTCCCTCTGGGAAGAGGTGCCTGGGATGTTGGTTGGGCCATACATCTCTGTCAAAATCTCTATGAATAAATTAACCTTTTAAAGATTAGTCCACCCTAATACCTCAGGGTTTTTTTTAAACAGAAGAGCGGAGCCTCTACCCTTCCACCATGTTTTACACCAAGCCTCACCAACTTGGTGTTGATAGTGGAATAAGAACTTTGAAAGGCATAGGGGGATTTTTTAATGAACTATAAAGCTAATAACTCATATCAGTACTTGTATACCTATTAATCTGGTCATTTTTCACAAACTTTTTCTTTCTGATTCTTATTTTGACTGTCTGATATTTGACAGTATGAATGCCAATAGAGCGCAGCTCTTTTGTTGTGGGTCCAATGATACTCAAACAATGTAAGATGCTCATGCTACATGTGTATTTTTTTTTTATTTTTCATTACCCAATTTACATTTTCTTATGCTTTAACCATTATTTTAAAGGGTTTAAAGGGTTAAATTAATAGTTTGATTACAAAATACATTTGGTCTAATCTAAATGATCCATCCATTCATCTGTCCATCCATTATCCGTATTGCTAATCCCTTTTGGGGTGAGCTGGGGGCATTGGAGCTTATCCCAGTTGTTACTGGGTAAGAGGCAGGGTATAACTGCCATTCGATCACAGGACTGACATACACACACACACACACACACACACACACACACACACACACATACACACACACACACACAAGGGTACACAGTCACACCAATAGGCAATGTAGAGTGAATTCATTTTACCTAAAATATGTTCATGTTAAAAAATTTCGAAATAAATTCTAAATTTCAAGAATAGATGGAATTCAATTTCTCAGTATAGGATAGTTCAGTGTTCACTGTATTTAGGAAATCAGAGTCTAAAAACTCATTCACATTTTTTTTTCCTGACATCCAAAGGATAGAGAAGAGAAAGAAGACGGCTGCAGTCGATGGTTGCAGGTATACTCTTTGACTACTGATAGGTGACTTCTTTAAAGTTGGCATGTAGTAGAAGATTTATCAGTAGAAATGTGATAGTGATGTATGGTCTACTCATATGGGTCATGTTTGAAATCGTAACCCTTCCAGTAGGACGTTTAAACCTAAAATGGCACAAATTTCTGCATTTATAGCTACACGTTTAAGATGTAAATGATCACAGGTAACTCACAGTCTGTGCTCAGTTCTTCTCCCCCTGCGAGTGTGATTCACCACGAGCAGGTACTTTCATTACACAGAGGAAGGACTTCATTATCTCAGCTAACTGTTCAGTTCATAAAAATGTGCCAAGTCTTAAGATACATGGAACTCCAAGCCAAAAAGGAAGACTTAAATACTGCAATTTTTGTTTAACTCCGATGAAAATCATGTGTTTCTGGTTGCCTACATGTTCATATGGCATTTTTTTATGCTAGGGGACATATAATGAGAAAAATAAGTGTGAAATTGCATTTCTGAGTGTTTCTGGATTCAAATCACTGTGAATCTCTAGCAGACCAAAACGGCAGGCTCAGAAACAGTGAAATGTCCTATGTAACAAATGCAAGCTCCAACCCGAGAGCCCTGCTATGGAGGCCAGACTGTGAGAGGTTGAGAGGATGATTGCTGAACAAGCGTGTGGGTTAGTGGATTACAAAGCTTGTAAAAGAAGCTAATTATGATACTAACTGTCATCATGTCCCCAAAGACATTAGTGTCCGAGAGCTGAATAGCTCCTATGTGACCTGCCACTTCTACTACACCGGCAATGTTAGGCTGCAAGCTAACGTGAAGAGCGGTTCTGTCTCCACCCACAACTGAGCGGCAAATGCTTAATGAGCTACAGGAGCTCTGCAGAAGAAAATCTCTTGAAAATGACACAGGTAACGTGATTTTCACTAAAAGCTTAATAATCACAATTTAAAGACCACTGAAGAAAAACTTTAATAGTTAAAAAAAAAAAAAAAAAGTAGTAGAATGGGTGTTTTTAGGTGTTCCAGGTCTCAGGGAAGCAGATGACGTGTTATTTCTACATACTCATCATTTGTTTTGATAATTGATCCATTTTTTTTTCAATTACCACAACAACAGGGGAGAATCAGTGTTAACCAGCTTGTGAGGGAGCGTTTCGATTCAAAATGTGTTAAGTAGATAGTAAAAAATCAGACATGTGTAATTCTAAATTTTTAATGTGTCCTGACCTTTTAAAAGTCGTACTTTTCGTTTACTTAAAGTGGTTGATTTAAGTATTGTATTTATTTATTTTTTCATTGGAAATTTTTTGTCTTTCAAGTATTCTTCTTTTCATCCTTCCTTCGTCCCCTGAAATGATGAGTCTCAACAAATAGTCTCCCGGTTACAGCACTGAATCACGGCTACATTGAACTAAGAGTGTCCTGATAGAAATCAGTTATTTCCTGGGTTGTTATCATAGAAGTTTTATTTGTATTTGGAGCCTGTATGTGAGAAGTGCATTGATGAGAAAATAAAAAAAGGAGAAAAGAGGATATATCCAAAATATCCTCTGTTTACTTCTGCATGTAGCAGTACAGTAAGGCTGCACAAGAAGATTAACATTTGTCATTAGCCTGCTTACAAACACCATTTCATGTGGGGAAGCCAGATATTATTTGAATCATGTAAAGTTTCAGCAGTTAATCGGCAGGCAGAAGTACTTGTGTTTGTAATTTAAAACAAGTAGAAAAAGATTTTATAGACGATTTCAACCTTTCAGTTGCACAAGTTTAAATATGTTTCCTACAATCTGTGTCAACTCAGCTCTTGGAGAACGTCCAGTTGCTTTTGTTGTTCCTCTGCATAAAAATGTCTTCTTGAGACTTGTAGTGAGATTCAGCCAAAAGCAGAGAGCTGAAGGATCTGTCTCGTCCTGGCCTATTAGTTGGCTTTGGTTGTTTAGATGGAGAACAGCACCTGGAGAAGCTCCAGGCCCCTGTAGGCACTCCGACTGAATATATGTGACTCTGTCTGTTTTTATAATATGCCCTAATATTTCTCCTTTATAACAGATTTGCTGAAAATTTGGATGTGATGCCAACTCCTGGAAAGATATTCACTGTTTTCACTGTAGAACAAGACATTTTGTCATTGTTTTGGAAGGGAGAAATATAATGTCCTGATGAAAAACTTTTTTTTTTTTAACAACCAAACAAAACAGTGGTCTCTTGTTGGCAATTCGACCAGACCTATCCACCTTGGTTTTTTAAACAAATCAGGGTAACTATGAAGAACAGGTTTTACGCTGAAATTCCTTCAAAAATAAACCATTCTTGACTGAAAGAATATGACATGTATTGGCTATGTCACAGGTTTTAGGTTTCACTCTCAGGGCAGGCAGAGGCGTCTCCTGGACTTCCTGAGCTCAGACTTGTGCCAACTCATGTACTAGGGGACTGGAGGGCCCCTCCTCCTTTATTTTAGGTGGGTAGCAGGGGATCAACAAGGGGGAGAATGAAGGACAAAAGTTTCACCATTCTAGCAGTCATCATGGTCCTCAGTCTCCCCTGTTCGACCTCATCACTCAATCTTCGTTTAGCTCCTGACATGTTGTAGCCAAGCACTGCTGGCCTAATTTATGTCTGCAAAGACAAGCTTGGCAAAGGGTAGCTTCCAGTAAAAGACCACTGCCTGAGCCGCTGACCCACACCGCGGCAAAATGGCTAATTTAATTTTGAAGCGGTAATGTCTCTATTACCTCGAAAAAAAGAAAGAACTCAACCATCTTGGAAAGTTTGGGGTTACACAGATGTTCTCCCGGATGTGTGTGTGTGTGCGTGTTTTTTTTCCTGCCCATGCAGACAACTTCTGATGAGAGTCAAGAGGGTCATGCTGACCTTTTTCCGTGAATCTGCGAAGGTTGACAACATGTGGCTCCTGTCTAAGTGAAACACATCCTCTTACAGTGGAGAGGCCAACACTGCAGAACACTGCCCAATTATCTTCACTGGCCTCCAGACAAGTCTCAAGTGCCCTTGAGATTTATGGACTGAATTCCCTCGTCTAATGGTAAAGCAGTTGTTATTAACTTTTCAAAGTGAGTCTGTTCTTCAGACCCATGCATTTATATCCCCCTTCATTTCTGTTTCTGAGTTTAACTATTTGATCAACAGTCACTGCAGCTGCCTTGGAGGTCAAAGGATTTGGGCAAAAAGTGGTTTTATAACTACATTAATTGATGTATGTTATCTGAAACATGTTTTAATATTTTTTCAGAATATTTCATGTCTTTGGCCTGCAGACCAGAGAACTTTTTTTTTTTTTTTTTTAAATCTGAGTTAAACCAGCTAAGATAGAGCTCAGCAATAACGCTCAGCATGGGCTTCAACAGTCCCTTGTTTGACAGTTCCTGTTTTCTCTCAGTAGGAGGCTCCAGAGATCACAGAATCCCCTCATCTCTCCCTGAACCCAAGAGCACAGCCCATCTTTTGGTCTGTTTCCTCGCTTCTATGCTGCCAAACCCACAACAGCAGCAACAGTCCACATATGGAAATGCTTGATTTGATATAGTGTCATTTTACTTTGCAGCAATGAGTATATGCAGGTTCTCCTCCTCCATGCAACCCGCCACTGCCACCACTGAAACCTGCAGAGAGTGAAATATGATCCGGGGTCATTACCAGAGCTATAAAAAAAAGTCAAACACGCTTCTTATGAAATGATTATAAAGTGACACAGGGCAATTATTGATTGTAGCGGCCAAAGTTTATTTATTTATTTATTTATTTATTTTTTTTTCTTACTCAGAGAATCTGTTTCTGTACCTGAGTAGGAGAAAGGCACTGTATGTCTTTAAAACCTACTTTAAAACCAAACCTACTTAAGTACAATTCACAAGCATGGACCAATATTGGAGAAAATTTCAAACATTAGTCAATGTCAAAATCTTTCATCGTTGTATTTTTGCTATGAAAGCTATGAAACTACAGCTCCATATTGCTAAACCTTTACTTTTTAGACACCTTCTTCCTCTTTTTGTTTGCCTTTTCCATGATGTATTTTGGGAAATGAAGTACTGCAAATAATGAGGCTGTGACAGATATGAAAGTCAGACTATGTGCATCACTGTCTATAAGAAGACTGTGAGTAAAACACATATAGAACTAGGTTTTCTGAGGACCAGAGGAGAAAGTGAGAAATTCAATGTTATGAAGTAAGCCATCAAACCTTCAGAATTACAGTGCTAGTTGTGATTTCCTGAGATTTCCCAGAATTCTGTTGTTTGAAGCTGCTGGTAGTAAATGACATTGCATCGTTGGGAAAAATGTGTTTTCTTTCTTTTTGGGTTGTTAACTGCAGTGAGTGGAAAAAAGGTCCCTGCTCCAAGTGGTCAAATAACTGCAGCGTTTTCAGCTTCTGTGTACAGCCCGCACGCAGAGATGTAAGCAAAGGGCCAGACAAAACCAAACAAAACAACAGTGAGCAGGCTCAATGGGCTTATGTGCCTTTGCAGAGAATGAGGACACGCTTATATACTTCCCCCAAAAAATGTTATCAGAGGACCCTGTTACAGTGAAAGTGAGAGTTTTGTCCAGAGGAGTAGTGATTATAGATCTGTGTTCAAATAATAATGTTGTAGACTTTCCTATGATCAAGTTTGTTTGTCTGAGAAGCATTTGCAGCTGAAGAATATGTCAGGGTTAATCCTGTGTGACCACCACAGAAAGGATTTTTACTCCTGAGATGTCATGGGGGAGGCGAACAGAACATCTATCTGTTACCTTTTACAAAGAGAACCCGAGTTTCTCCTAAATGAACAAATGGACCTGTCTGCTGCCAGAGTGGGACAAAGGCATTCTCACATTCAACACCCACACCACTGCAGCCCCAGCCCCGACTGCTGCCTAAAGACCAGTAAAACTGTTCAAATGTTTCCTCCGCCCAAGAGTCGAGGCTAGTTCCCCTTAATCTCGCACTAGTTGAGACCTCAAGAGTCTGTCACCTTTCCTGTCACGCTCGGCTGCCTGCAGCCCATTGGCCGGCAGCAGATTTATTTCTCCCTGTCAGGGCCAATAGCGTGGTGATGTGGCTCAGCCCACTGTTTAGTTACAGTGACAAACATGCTGATTAGAGAGGCCCAGATGATGGATGGCTCCTCGCCGGAGAGCGGCCTGAGTTTTTAGCGGGTCATAATGGGCCTGACACTGCACAGCCCCTCTCTCTCTTTCTTTCTCCCCTTCTTTCTGTCCTCTCCAGGCGGATAGACCCCTCCCCCACAGGTCACACTCAAAAGGTCAGGAGTTAACGGGCCAGCCTTCGCGTTCTGCTGCCAAATCAAAATGACCCTGTTTGGAGTCATATTTGTAGACACTCCATCATCATCACGGCCACTGCGACACCTCTATTCCCTTCTTCCCCGTGGCCTTTTCTCCTGTGACCACAAGCTCCCACTCTGGCAAATAGGAGGGTACACAACCCTGCTGGCTTATTTAAACCACTGAGCCTTCTTACTCACTTTTGTGTTGCAGAGCATGTGCACGATACACACACAGATGCACAAAAACCAACACTCTACTTTAATGCAGGCTTTCTGTTGTATTGAATTTATTTCTACCAATTGGATTGAACATGTAGCTTGCCGAGTGTGTCGGGGAGTGTTTGGTATTGAGTCATGCTTGAGAGACTGTTTTATCTGGAAATATAGGTCTACCACTTAATCCACTCCGAGGTCTGCAGCACTCAGACCTCTACTGGAAGCCTGTGCCACTAAAACCTTTGGGTTGAATTCACCAAAGAATATTTCAAACAACCTTGACTTTGGGGCCAAGTTTCTTTCTCAGCCACCAAGCTCACACTTATAACATATATTGGTTTATTTGAGAGGATACACAGTGTGGAGAAAGGCAGGTCTGGACCTTTAAACAGATAGTAAGATGCAAACCCTCCTTTTTTCTTGAGGTCTCACTTTAGTTAGAAATGTACAAAGCAGCAGTGTGGTTTGCAACATAGTTGCTTACTGATCAACCTTGAATTTAAAGGGCCAGATGTTTAACCTGAGCATTGATTTTAAATATGCAGCCAGTCAAATCCAACAAGATGGTTCTGAGTTAACGCTGTGGAGTCCTGGTCATAGGGGCCACTTTCCCTCTGAACATCGGGATGTTGTGCCCTGAGGCGCATTGCATGTGTGTGTGTGTTTCGTGTGTGAGAAGCTGGGGAAGTGTAGAGCAAGACAGCACCTCATTTGTATTCTTTTGGAAACAGATGCTCAGCTGCATTAACAACGTCTAACTAAAACATTCATAAAGTGTTATTGGATTTTTAGCAGCGGGGTTAAGAAGTGTGACCTTGGAGGTCTGAAGGTTGCCAGCTCTTCTCTCTTGTTCCCTTCATCATGGCCTCCTCCCCTCTCCTCTTTCTCTCTATTCAGACGCTCTGGTGACATCACAGCAGCTCCGCTTCAAATTGGATGCAGAGAGTGAGAAGTTCAGCAGTAGCCCAGGGCACTGAATATTTTTCCATTTATTTAGAAGGGTGGATGGAGTAGTGAGATGGGGGGATAGCAGGACATGCAGAGAAAAAGGGGAAGAATCCATTACAGGTTAAGTAATAAGTAATCAAAAGAGTTCCTTCTGTGTGTACGCATACCCCACTCAATGTAATGGTTAAGTGAACCATCCGTGTAATCAGGAAGAAGAATCCCCCTTGGACACCTGTTGGTTCTGTATAATCCATCAGCAAAGAAGTAAAGAAAGTGTAGGGAGCCAAAAATAGGAGACTCATTGGAGGCTCCTTTGTTTCTGTATATAAGTCTTGACATGTGTCCTCCAATGATGTGGCTACATGTAGTAATAATGCAACATGTTATATTGACTATATCATAGGTGCAGTTGAAATTGAGGGGTATTTAGCTGAATAAACTTGGTAGGAATGGATCTTTATGTTCTTAATGATGTTTAAATTCATATTTAATAACCTGATTATAAAAACCCTCCTGCTTGGTACATGTCTATATACCTACATCTATTGTTGAGGGTCTCCTTTTACTAGTGCCACAGTCTTTCACTGTCATGTTAATATGGTAGCACTGAGCCGACAAACTAGCAACATACTATGCATGTATTTTTCATTTGTATTTGTTATAGCGTTTCACTGACGGCCCGACTGATATATTTTGCTTTATTTTCCCATTTTTACACAGTGTGCCTTTGAGTGGCATAACAAGGTATACTAGCCCTCTCTTAGCCACTCTGAAGAATGAATATGGCTTTTAAAGTCAACAACACAAAAATTAATTTTTAAATTCACTACTTAAAGATATGTTTGCGCTTTGCATATCTGGTGTTAGGGCAGAACCTTTTTGTTGGCGGTAAAATCCAATTTCTGGCATCCCAGTGTTGGACATGCATTATTTCAACTGTCTGATTCAAATATTCGGTATAAGTAAAAAAATAAAAAATTAAAAAAGATTTTTAAAAAATAAGCCACATTTTCTGCATCACAAAGACATTGCACATAATTTGTTGTTTATGAGTTTCATTCATATCTGAAATGCTATGAATGTAAAAATACATTTTTTTAAATGTTGTTCTGAACTGCATTCAAGGAGAGTTCTACAGTTTTCTAATTATGTCCCTCCAGTAAAAGCCTGTTAATATATCTGTCTTGTGTTACAAAATAAGTAAATAAATGAATAAATAATAATAATGCACCAATAGACCACGTATCCAACACATCCTTCAGACAGACACCTAGGTCTAATTCTGTTGCACTTGAGGCCCATTTTGGGAATTAAAAATGCATCTTTCACCTCTAAAATAAATCAACTTTCAGAAACAGAATTCTTTACATTCCAGTTGAAAGACATGAGTTTTGGACACACTCCTGCCCAGAGGTGTAGTGTGAGAAATTACCAGTGGAGATAAGTAATCCTACAAATAAATTGTTAATTCATTCCCTTTAGTAAACCCTTTTAACCTCCACAGTCTGTTCATTATCAGTCTGAAGCACGATAGACAGAGGCAACATCACACCTCTCCCACCACAGTTAAAAGAACAGTATGAGTCACCTCATTCCTCTGCTGGCTGAATCCGTCTATGTGTGTGTCTCTGCACATGTGGTTTATGAAGCTTCTCATGCATGTGTATATGTGGTGGAGAATGTGGCCCGCAGAGAAATCCAGGAAATCCCAGGCTCTTGTCCCATTTCTTGAAAAGATATGTGTTTTTCTGTGGGTTGAGTGTGTACTGCACTTTACGTGTTAGTGGCTTTCAGCCTGGGCCTGGGGAAAAGGCCATGTGAAGAGAAGCTCATGCCCTCACAATCATTTGCACAATGCGTATCACATTATGCTCTCATGTAGCAGTCATGGCTCTAATCAACGGATCAGTCTTGACATGAATACCACACCTCCAAAATGAATTGCAGTTGCATTGAATAAAGAAAGTTGTGGATTGACTTGGACTGGGGTATCTTTGATCAGTTCTTATTTGCTCTCCTGTCACAAGCTCTCCACCATGATATCTGGCAAAATGGATCAGTAAATCAGTTTGAAGGGCTGGACCCTCGTAACACAGCAAGTGTAATCTAGTGAGAAAGAAAGTGCTAAGCCACCATGAAATAGAGGTTGGGGTTTGATGCCAGACCCAGTTTGTCTTGTCACCCTGCCAAACCATCTGTATAGACCAGAGAGAAAGTCAGAACAGTATTCGCTCCACTCCCATCCATCTTTAACTAAAGCGACAAACCAGCAGGAGCGACCTACCAGTGGGACCCCACAGCCTGAACTGAATGTTGAAGTCCATAACAATGAAAAAGCCACTTTCATTGAACATTCACTTCTTATATGAATGCTGTGGGGTTACTATGGAGACCAAATATTTTTGACGTTACACAGTTGTTGTGCTGTATTTGCTTTGTGGATTCTGGAACAGATCTCTATTATAACCCTGAAGAGATGTAGCCCAGAGACTGCTCATTAAACTGGCCACCCATGCTATAAACATATTAAATAAACCACAGATTAGAAAAGGCTGTCTTTTTGTTTTACCGCTCTCTCAGCACTGAAATTGTGTTGCCTTGTTGAGATGGATTTGATGGCCTTTAATAGTGTCTGCCTCTTTTTAATAATGCCCAGTCTACTACACTAGACTATGCTTTATTAGCCTGTTTGAGTCCGAGCACAGAGCCATTAGCAGGGGCCAAAATAGCCCATAAAAGTTGGACCAAGTCTAATTATGTGCCAGTCTTATAGTATTAAGTATTTTGGAATGCGTCAACATTGCTCTTTAGTTTATATCTAGCCTTCGTCTTTGGGGCAATTAACATTCAACAGTCAATAAGCGGGGTATTTCCTCCTTTAAAGACCTACACTGAGAACTGACCATGCCCTAATTTTTATTTCTTAATGGTCCAAGTTTGAACATAGGGGGGGGCATTTCTCACTGGGCTTTCTTACTCAAGGTGGTGAACTTTATTTCACTTTAGAATTGCACACTTGGATGTGGAATGATTAGCATAATAGTCGCATGTTCACATATGGCTGGTATAGAAAATGGAGCAGAACTGCATATCAAAGAGGACTGCATAATCACCATAATTACAATTGAGGATGCAATTACTGATATTATTGCCTTATTAGTGTTGATACTGTTTCGCCCTCTACCAAAAGCTGCACAAAGGAGAAAGAAAAGGAAGAGGTTTTCCTGAATGTGAGCAACATAATACTTCTTTAACTGCTCACCCTGGTGGTGTTAATTCTTAACCTCCACTGACACAGCTTCCTCTGCCTCTTCCTCAAGGTTAATATCTTTAATAAAAGTTAACATGTGGAAAGCTAACACTCTCCTGGTCTGCCCTAACAGCCTAAATTAGACTTCTCACAGGACGCGGCCTCTCTTGTATCATTTTTTTGGATGACGTGTAAGAAGCAGTAAATTGCTTTCTTATGCTGTGCTCATTCTGCAGACTGCCTTGTGTTGTTTGCTGGATCGGCTTTGATTTAAAATTTCATAGCTGTGGCCTGGGCTTTTGTTAAACCTGCACTTAGATAATGTGTGTGTCCAGACCCTCTCATCGCCTGGCTCACCCATCAGCCTCCCACCTTTCCCCCTGTCAGTCCTAATCTCAACAGACTACTGTTTTTATTTCTTTCAATTCCCTTTTACTGCAGCTTTAAAATATATTAATACATATTATAAATATGTGTGTTTATGTATGTATATATACATGTATATATATATATATATATATATATATATATATATATATATATATATAAATGGAATGTGCTCTTTATGTATGATAAAATGACTAATATGTATGGGTATACCAGTCTGATTGAATTTGCTGTGGATTTGTGTGTGTACAGACAGATGTGCATGGAAGCGTAAAGGGAGCATACCTTGTGCGCAGCCACAGTCGAGGCCTCGGGCCATGTTTGCACTGGGTGACAATAACCCCTTTTATTCTGCTTCTGCCTTCACCAATGTTTTGATTTCTACTTAAAGTTTTATGTCAGTGCCCTCCCTCAAGGGTGCCATTACCTTGTATGCTAATAGAGCTATGCATATTCTATTACTGCTGTCAGGGCAAGATAAGGGACACATTCAGCAAAGGAGCACTTAGGGGCCAATGAACCCAGCGAGGGGTCCTGCTGCTCCTGCATTATCAGTCATCTTCACATGTGAATGGAGCTGGCTTATGGGCCTTCTCCTCTCTATTCCTCTCTCCCTCTCTTCGCCGCAATGACTAAAGACTGTCTTCCGTAATAATCAGTCACTGAGGAACCGCCTGATCCCTATCTTACACACACCCAGTCACAGGCCGACATGTGTGCACACACACAAACACGCACACACTGAAACCATGCACAGCTGCAGGCTCAATTCAAGCCGACCACAAAGAATTCAAGAGCAGGGCAATAACACTAACACTGTCACACGGAGACAAACATGTCTCATTTGGGGTCAGTTTGGATGGGGCTAAGTAGGTCTTTATTTTCAGACTGACTGAAGTCTTCTCTCCCGCATAATGGTAATGAAGCCATATGGTATGTGGAATTGGATTACTAACAAATGTTCCATACCACCGTCTTTCCCCGAGCTTTCTTTTTTTTTCTCTCCTTCTCTCTACAACCCCCCCTCTATCTCTTCCCTCCCTCTCTTTCCCTCTCATTCTCCCCCGCTCTCTCCCCAGTGTCGCTGTCCCCCAATAAAGCAGCCATTTCAAATTGGAACAGCATGTTGTCTAGGAGTGCGCACCTCATTTATAAGATTAAATTAAAAGCCAGCCATGCTCAGATGGCATTTTGTGATGATGAGAAGAAGGAGGGAGGTTATGGGCAGAAGGGACTGTTTCAGCTGCACACAATCATCTTTCTGTCATGTGATTTGCTGGTTCCTGGTGGTGACACCTTCTTCCCGTCACCTGCTATGATGTGTCAAATGCCACACCTAAGACCCTAAAGCTAATGCATCCTGGATAATGACTCTTGCAGCTTTTTCTTTTAGTTAAACCATACTTTCTGGAAAAGTTGTGGAAGCCTTTTTAACACGTGTTATAAAGTAGCCAAACATGGTTACAGGTTTGTGCCTTGTCACATACACAATGAAATGATATATCACACTCTGAGCTCAAAAGGCCTTGCAAATTGTGCTCTATAAATGGAGGAAAATCTCTTTCTGCTCTTTACCTAAAAACAGATGAACTTTTATTGAAAACGTGGAAGTGATTAGTTTAAGGGGCGTCTTTTAGTGTAATTCCCAAATGAAACGAGCAGACTCTGTATTTATGAAGCCCGTAGCACAAAGAAGGGAGCTCTTAATGAGGCAATTAAGCGGAGGGGTCGAGAGACTTTGATCTAGAGTGCAGTGATTTTTACAAAAACATCTCACAGTGATAGATACTCATAACTCAGGGGCCTTAATTGTGCTTAATTTGTTTGGAATAGGAATGTGCTTTCAATTAGACTGTGGATTTGGGCCTGTGTGTTTAAAGGAGGCTGTCAGGGAAAATTAAGAAGCAGTTTGGTCCCCCTCCTGTGTTACTGTTTTTTATCATGGCCCAAGAGTGAGACAGAATGAGCAGACAGACAGATGAAGAGACCAAACAAAAGGTAAAAAGAGGTAATTAGGCAACAGAAACCTGCAGAAGAAGCCATGGGTGGATGGGTTGTTGAAAGGAGCAAAGGAAGTAGCCACTACATCTGCCCAGTCTACATATGTAGGTGTCTGGCTCAACAGTAAAGAACTGTGCTCCTGCAATTGCTAGGCTATGAAATGTTTGTCATTTTGATTTGACTTTTAAATTCTCTCAGGTTGAATTCTGATTGATGTTTTCATGCCATTTTTTTTTCTTCTGAAAAGCTTGGTTTAAATTTAGTTTTTATCTGTTTCTGACTTATGGCTATTTGCCTTGTCAGAGGAAAGACTTGTGACAACTATCAATGAGACCGCTACGATCAGAATCACAACATAGCATTGATGAAGCATTAAAAGCTATTTCCTGGTGTGTGGGCACTCATAGACCGAACTCCTGCCACTCTTGTATAAGTCAGTGGCTCAGTTTGGTCACTGTAGTCAAAAACAATCTGTGTACCTCCTCACATGTTACTTTGCTCAACAGCAGTTGGATCCATGCTAAAAAGAGGGCACTGTTGATTTAATAGTCAGGGCCTCAGTAAAAGACAGGGACTTCAATGTCACTGAGGTAAGTCATACAACTCCTTAAGGATGTATGTCTATGTAATGTGCCACTCTCTCTCCTACACCTCAATGAAGATTAACAAGTAATAATCCATCCAGGTCATCAAAAAAGAGAAAAGTATTTTCTTTCACTGAATTGAATAACTGAACTTGTTAGGTTTGGCATTGACTTACTGAAATATGCAAGGTTTTCTCTGGTAATGGCATTGGGTCTCATTCATGAGAAGTAAGCAAATCTGTGTAGATCTGCACAAAAAAGCCCTTGGCTCTAAAAACTTCACCAGACAGATGTGGTTGAAAACTTGGATTTGATCATAGTGTTGTGTGTATATTCATGACAGTAACCAGCAGACAACGTTGCCCATGCATGCATGGTGAGTATGACTCAGTGAGAGAAATTATAACAAATGTTCCTCACCTCTGTTTTATTTGACAGTTTATTTTGGTAATAATTTAAAGTATGGCATTTGAATAAAATTGATGTGACTGTTGTGCATAATAAATGTAGCCCTTTAATGCCTGTCACCACAAACTATGGCCAGAAAATTCTGATTTTTTTTGGAGCTGAAATGTTTTTTTACTTACTACTGAAACCAAAAAAAATAAAAATAAAATGTCCTTAAAATTTAACAAATATATTTATTTATCTCATTTGGTACATTAGATATTTTTTAGAAACTGATACACTACAAGAGCACATTTTGATCATTTATCAGACTGTATTCAGGTGTTTTTTTAGTAAATCGTTGATCATACTGATTTGATAGAAGTATATAAAAGTATGTATCAAATATGATACAAAAGGCATTAAAGGGTTAACCAAAGAGTTTTGGTTAAGTTTATCATGTTTGATCATGATGGGGCTTAGTACTTCAGCTTTAGCATATTTACTAACCGTTTAAACCCTTTGTTGTCAACCACAGCCAATATCTGCAGGTCTTTTACCTTGTTTTTACTGAAATGTCTTGTGATTTTTAGAGTTATGGGAAAATGAGGCTGTAAACGCTTCCTTCCAAGTTTTTTGGATTGTTCAACACAGTTTAGACAACACAAAAATAACATGAACTTCCATTCCACTTTCATTCTGAAGCCAGTTTTTATAGTGTAAAAAAAGTTAACAAAAAGGGTTCAAGCCCTGATTGTGACTAAATCAAAGCAATAAGACGACTGGGACTCAATATGAGGGTATTGGGAGAGGGTTAAGCTTTTCAGAGGGTAAGGTCCTTTCTGTGGCCACCAGGGGCTTTGTTATCTTAAAGAGGGGATCAGTGTATTTTAAGAGATCTTCTGAATCCAATCCCTTGAAAAACAAAGATACTCTGTGATGATGCTGTGTCTGTCATGTTAACCAACCAGAGGCTGTATGTACGATCAGCTGGTCCATCAGCTGGTTTGTGTTGTTGATACATACCAAAAACCTTCACAGGCCAACAAAGAACTAATTTGATAAACAGGGTTGATAATGGCATTACCCTGACACTCAAATCTTACCAATAACATCCTAAATAGAGTGTATGTTAGTCCAGTTATTGACCTTAAATCCCACCAGAGTTGACCTTCATGAAGTAATTCCTTCTTACAGATATTGTGTCCTGACAAATAAGTTCACAAAAGAAAGTCTTATACCACAACATTTAAATATACACTGTATGCCCTTAACCACTGTTCGGCTACATCAAGACCTGCTACCCACTGTTCTCTACTTTGTTGCAGTTTAACCATCAGCGGCTTATTTCCAACTAGTGTCAGCTAGTTAAAGAAATAAATGAGGGTCCTTGTGTTGATTTATCTCTCTTGACCTGAACGGTGAGTTTGCTGTTATGTGATTTAGACAGTCAAAGCTGGAGAGACAGGGAGAGATGTGACAGTGAACTCTACTGACAGGCAGATGGTCTCTCTCACTGTCTCCTGAGGTCTTCCACTTCACACCCCATTACACCCGCCTCTTCCCATCAGCTTGTTGTCTGTCATTCAGTGAGCTCTTAAATCCACTCCCACTCTTTCTCTGCCATTCTCCCTCTCCTGCTCCCGCTCCTTCCCTCTGTCATTCCTCCATGCTTGTCAGCTTTGTAGACTGCATGTCAAGTGTCAGGTGCAATCCCGACTGACTGATCCACTGTGGTGTGTGTGTATGTGTGTGTGTGTGGGTGTAGAACCAGTAAAGAGATGTCCCACACGTGTTCCCTTTCTGTCCCCAGAGCTGTCTGTAAGGGTAAAGCTCCTGCTTGTTGAGGGGCCAGCAGGTCCTCTGCAGTCTCTAAGGAGCTGTTGGGGTGAAATCTCCTGAGCAAAGATACTTGGCAGCCATTTACAGCCACCAGGGACAGAACCTCTACTGATCCCACTGTTGCACCTTGATGTTAGTAAGGAGCAGGCTGTAGTCTCCTTCTTTGTGG